CTGGATTTTAGATTTTGGCCCCTTCTCTGATTGAGTTCGACACCCCTACCCTAGAGGCAAGGACCCAGCCCTGCCCACACCTTGATTAGCCTGCTGCGTGTGAGCTCACCTGGACGGGTGCCCAGGGAGGGATCCTTAGGAGGGGGCGTGCGTGAGTGAGGCCTGAAGGAGGAGTTGGGGTGTTCTGGACGAGGGGACGGAGGTGGTCAGGGAACCAGTGTGTGCAGGGCTGCTGGAGGGAGGGTGTAGTGGGTGTAAGCGGGGATGGGAGGAAGGCTGGGGGGCCGGGTCTCCTGGGCCATCGTCAGGACGGTGAGCTTCATGCCTCAATGGGTTGAAGCCATCTGAGTGTCTTCCATGGCGGGCGGGGAGGAGAGGGGAGCAGATGTGTGTTTTGAAAAGGTCCCTCTGGCCTTAACCAGTGTGGCTCAGTGGCTAGAGCATCAGCCTGTGGACTGAAGGGTCCTGGGTTCGATTCCGGTCAAGGGCATGTACCTTGGTTGTGGGCACATTCCAAGTAGGGGGTGTGCAGGAGGCAGCTGATGGATGTTTTTCTCTCATTGATGTTTCTTTTCTTTCTTTTTAAAAAAAAAATATATATATATTTTATTGATTTTTTACAGAGAGGAAGGGAGAGGGATAGAGAGCTAGAAACATCAATAAGAGAGAAATATCGACTAACTGCCTCCTGCACACCTCCCACCGGGACCTTTCAGTCCGCAGACAGACGCTCTATCCACTGAGCCAAACTGGTTTCAGCTCATTGATGTTTTTAACTCTCTATTCCTTTCCCTTCCTCTCTGTAAAAAAAACAATAAAATATATAAAAATAAATAATAATTTAAAGAAAAGACAAGGTCCCTCTGGCATCGCACTGTGAGTGGGCTATGGGGGATGGGGGTGGGTGTGAGGAGACCCTTGGGCGGCCGCTGTCAAGATCAGGCAGTAGGGAGGTGAGGGAGAGCCGATGGATCTGAGGGCAGAACTGGACAGGAGATCCTGGTGGGTGAGAGGCTGTGCAAGCTGACCCAGGCTCACACCGCCTGGCTATGTGGCTTTAGGCAAGTTTCTCGACCTCCCCGTGCCTCAGTTTCCCTGTCTGTGAAATGGGATAGATAGTAGGTATAGGGTGGGGCCTGGGATTCTGCATTTTGAGCAAGTTCACCTGCTGGCCCAGGTTCCTCACCTTGAGTAATAGAGGGAAGGGCCCCTCCGGATGGATTTGGGGTGCACCTCCCAGCTCTGCCCAGCTCCGGCCCCTTTGGATATGTTGTGTCTGATTGTCCTCTCCCACCCTGGCCCCCCCCTGCTGTGGACGCTCAGCTGCTACAGGTGTGGCCGGCCTCCCTTCCCCTCCACGCTGAGCCAGGTGGGGCTTTCTGAGAGTGATCTGCACCAGGTTTTACAGGGAAAACCAAACCACCCGAAACCAGACGGCCCAGAAATGGGAAGGTTCGGGCCTCTCTCTCTCTCTCTCTCTCTCTCTCTCTCTCTCTCTCTCTCTCTCTCTCTCTCGATGCCGCTAAGGCTGAGCCACAGCCTCTGGTTGCACAGCTCATCACTTGGCGGCCACCTCGCTCTGCCTCGAACCTGCCGGGGAACCCCACCCAAAAGCCCCCCCTCCAGGCCTCGGGCTCCCCCCTCCCACTCCCTGCTCTGTCCCCGCTTCCCTCCCCTGCCGTGGCCAGAGCCCAGCCCAGCTGTGTCTCCGCTTCCCCTGGGGCAGCGGGAGCGGACGGGCTGTCCGGGGCTGGGCCCACGGCCAGTGGGAACTGGTGGGGCCTTGACACTCAGGAGGCCAGGCTTCCGGCTGCCACTGCCGCAGATGCCCAGGCTGCTGCCCTCTCTGCCAGGAGCTGGGGTGGGTGAGGGGCCCCTGTGGTGGGCAGTGGGAGGCCATGGGGGCGGGGCAGTGGGGAAGATGGGAGAGAAGGCAGAGAGAGTGATGAATGGGCTGGGCCTGGGGCAGGAGACTGGACCAGTTTTTGGGGACCACAGACAGTGCTGCAAGGGTGAAGCTCAGGTCCCCAGATGCCACCTCTGGGAAGGTGGGGTGGCCTCCCCACGGGAGCCATAGCCCCTGGAGGGCGCTCAGGGCCCACCCAGCTCTCTGCGCACAGTAGCTGCTCCATGTGCTTGTGTGGCGGTCAGGGGTCAGCTGACTCGAACTCAGCGCCTGACCCCCCATGAGGTGGAGCTTGGGCGGGTCTTTCACCTCACAGACTGGCTTCCACGGTAACAGACTAGCTTCTAACAGGGCTGTGGGTTCAAAAACCGCCTTTGCTACTTCAACATGTGTGCACGCACTGACCCCGTTTTCTGGGTGCCTGTAAAACGATGACATCATAGACAACATCAACAAAAAATCCCCAGTATCTGCCAGAGAAGGAGTGGGTGGGGGGTGGGGCTGAGCGATGCCCCCACCTCAACCCCACCTACGTCTCTGGGAATGTCTGGGGGAGCTGGGGTCCAGCACCTCTGTAGGTTTAGGGGGCCAACCCCTTTCCCCATAAGCCCCGTATGAAACGGAGGCCCACAGCCCTCTACTCCCTTGGTGTGGCTCTGATGGGCTACAATTGCCTCTCTGGCCAGCAGGAAGGCAGCTCCCCCTGGTGGCAAGCCTTGGCCTTACACAGATTTATTGTTGAGCTGCTATTTACCTGTGTGGTTTTATATTATACAATGGTTTTATTCCTCTCTCTTTATGTATATACAACATCATCTTGTTGTTGTTGTTGTTCTGTTTTACTGAGCCATTTGCAAGTGTGTGGCAGACATTTTGATCCTTCACCCTAATCAAATCAGCATCATCTCTGACTTAAATTCACACTCAGGCATTCGACGTGGGTAGAACATAATCAGACTTAAAGTCCCCGTTCACATTTCATCAGCACCTCAATATTCTCCTCTACAGCGATATCTGCCTTCCACCTTCACTCCAGGTCCAACCCAGACATTCCATTCTGTCATCCCGTCTCTCATCTTCTTTATTCTGGAAACATTCCACAGCTGTTCTTTGTTTCATCTTTGGCATTTTTAGAGCCCAGGCTAGTTGTTTTGTAGAAATTCCTTGTGATTTGGTTCAGATTATGGACACAGATACGATAGGCCCTTCTCAGGACATTTTTATTTAACACTAGAGGCCCAGTGCATGAAATTCGTGCAAGAGGCTCGGTCGTTGTAGCTACGGCTTCGTCTGGAAGATCATCCAGAAGGATGTCCAGAAGGTTGTTCAGCTGTCCAGTCTAATTAGCCTATTACCCTTTTATTATTATAGACTAGAGGCCCGGTGCATGAAATTCATGAATGGGTAGGGTCCCATCGCCAGGTCTGGCTGGCGATCAGGGATAATCTGTGGGGTTACTGGTGGGGTGACCAGGGGGCCACCCCTGCTGGCATCCACCTTGGCTGGCCTGGGGCCTGTGGGCTGAGGGCAGCTCCTGCGTTGAGCATCTGCCCCCTGGTGGTCAGTGCCAGTTGTTCTGCCATTCAGTCGTTTTGCATATTAGGCTTTTGTTATGCAGGATAGGATGGGGGAAGCCTGTGGCTCAGAGAGGAACGGGCACACAGGAAAGCCCCAGTGTCCTCTCTGCACTCGGTTGCTGTGTGACTTTGGGTGGGTGACTTTCCTCACCTGTGACGAGGGGGGGGTGGACCTGGCCCCGAAAGGCTGGGTGGCATAAAGGAGATGTGTGCCTGGGGCAGTGATGCCAGATACAGCGCATTCCCCGTTCTCCGCCCTGTACACCCCTCCAGTGGCCTGGGGTGTGGCGGCAGGAGGTGGAGGGCAGCCAGGCTCCCCACCTCTGTCCCCCGGGCCCTGGGGAGCCCGTAGCTGTCGATGAGCTGAGCAGGCAGGCCGAGCGGGGGAAACCCTGGCTCAGGACCCAGAAATTTCCCCGCACTCAGCAGGCCTGGCAGGGCTGAACCCTCACCCCAGCCCGGCCTCCCGCAGGCTTCCACGCTCATATGGTCAATGCTTTGGGCCAGGGGGTCCTGGCAGGTCCCTGCCCCTGGAGAGGCCCAGCAGCCTGCTTTACTGGAGGGAGGAGGCCGGGCGTGTATGGGCAATGTTGTCATTGTCATTGACGTGTGCAAACATCAGGTTATCTCTATTACTTCAGTTTTATGTGGTGATGTTTCAGCTGAGCAAACAAAAAAAATGTGATACACACTCCACATACCCACCCACCTCCTGTTGCACGGGCCTCCTGGCTGCTCTCTGAGCTTAACAGGAAAATGTATTCACTTTTCACTCTTCCCTTGAGTGGAGAGAAGAGCAGAGAAGCCCCTGAGGCAGCCAGGCGTCTGGGTGGGGGTAAATGGCTTCTGCTTTCCTCCCCTCCTGACCAAGAGGGCCCCACCCCATGCATCCCATAGGTGGCCCCTCCTGTCTGTCAGGCACCATCCGGGCTGCTGTAGGTACACTGATGGGACAGGCTCCCTCCCACCTGGTCTCCCCCCCCCCCCCCCCCCCCGCCCCCGAGCTCCTGGTTGTGGGTTGACAGAAACCTGCTTCAGGCCCCACTTTCGTTCTACCAGGAAGGACAAAAGACTTTCCCCAAAGTCTCAGTAAGACTTCCCTCTCTCTCTCTTTTTTAAGATCTATTTTTATTTATTTCAGAGATGGAGGGAGAGGGAGAGAGATAGAAACATCAATAATAAGAGAGAATCATTGGTCGGCTGCCTCCTGCTCGCCCCATGTTGGGGATTGAGCTGGTAACCCTGGCAGGGGTCCTGACTGGGAATCGAACTGGGATCTCCTGGTTCATAAGTTGAAGCTCAATCAGGGAGTCTTGAGCTATGGAGGCTGGAGTTCGAGGAGAAGTGAGATCAGGTGTTTCCGACTTGATTTCTCTTTGGTAACGTGAGGCTTGGTGGTAGGCCTGGCCTTGACAGTGAGTGGAGACCTACTTGGTCTCCTAGGACCTGAGGGTCAGGAGGGAAGATGGGTGTCTGGGACCCACTGGGCCTAACCAGTTTGTCTTACTTTCCAGGGTCGAGCCCCCACGGACCCCTGTACTGGAGACCCCAACCGCTACTATGACAAGACTGCCGGGAGGTGCTGTTACCACTGCCCTATGGGTGAGTGGGTGCTGGGCTGGGGAAGGGGGATTGGGGTGTGGGGAAGATGGGAGCCAATGTTGTCATTGTCATGTTGGCTATCGACTCTGAAGGCCATCCCACCATGAGTTCTTGTTTTTGTTTTTAAATATATATACGGTATATATATATATATATATATATATATATATATATATACACACACACACACACACACACATATATATATAAAAAGCATAATATGCAAATCGACCAGACGGCAGTACAACCGGTCGCTATGACGTGCACTGACCACAGGGAGCTGCCTCCAGCCCACAGGCCCCGATCGCCCAACGGGGAAAGGGGAACTGAGGGTGGGGCCGGCTGCTGGGGAAGATTGGCTCTGATTGCAAGTCAGGCCTAGGTACCCTACCCATGCATGAATTTCGTGCACCTGGGCCTCTGGTATTTTCATCTCTATCTCTATCTCTATCTATCTCTATATCTATATCATGATTTCAGAGAAGAAGGGAGAGGGAGAAAGAGATAGAAACACCAATGATGAGAGAGAATCATTGATTGACTGCCTCCTGCACATCCCACACTGGGGATTGAGTCTGCAACCCGGGCATATGCCATGATAGGGAATCAAACTATGTTCATGGTTCATAGGTCGACGCTGGCCGGGCTGTGAATTCTTGTTTTTGATTGACAGCTGCCCCTCATAGGGCATGTGCTATATGTGCACTAGGTTGAGATGGTCACATGCATTTCTTCGTCTCATCAGATCCTCACCATTATCCGTTAGGATTCCTGTTTGCAGATGAGGCTATGGCAGTGTGCTGCAAGGTTAAGTGACTTGCCCAAGGTCACAAACTGGGAAATGGAGAACTGGCTGGGCTGGGGCCAGGGCTCTGTGCCCCCAGAGTCAAGCTGTCAATACTCCCCTGACCGCCCTCCATTTCTGGGCCTGGATGCGCATCCTCTAGGCCCCCAAGCGTTGCCGTCTGGCGGGGGACACTGGGTCATTGGGGGCCGATGACCTGAGCTGGGCAGGAAACCTGGTCTGTCTGTTCCCAGACCCCGAGGGCCAGAGGAGCCCATGCTCAGGCCAACAGAGGGCCAAGAAGCATTTAGGGGAAAGGATTTGGTATTTTAAAAAAATATATTTTATTGATTTTTCACAGAGAGGAAGAGAGAGGGATAGAGAGTTAGAAATATTGATGAGAGAGAATCATCGATCAGCTGCCCCCTGCACCACCCCTACTGGGGTGTGCCCGAAACCAAGGTATATGTCCTTGACCGGAATCAAACCCGGGACCTTTCAGTCCGCAGGCCGACACTCTATCGGATAGAGTCTATCCACTGAGCCAAAGTGGTTTTGGTGGATTTGGTATTTTCTATTTCTAAAAATTGCTGTCATGACAGGAGAAAAAAATAGCCTTTTTGGCCTTTATTTTGGGGGTTAAGGTTGGTTTTGAAGTAGATGTCAGCTGGGTCCCCGTGCTTGTCTGTTTTTAGTGTTTAGGGCCTCACTGCCTAACTGGCTGGCCACCACCCATCCATGTTCCTGCCCGTCCACTCATGCATCTTTTCATCCACTCACAGCTCATCCCCTGGCTCTCCTGCCATCTCCTCAGATCCCCTCCTCCCAATCCCATCCCTCTTCCCATCCCCTGTCCATCTAGCTGTCTGTCTCAGTTTGCTCAAGCTGCCACAGCAAAGTACCAGAGTCTGGGGGGCTTAAGTCACAGACATTTATTTTCTCGAAGTTCTAGAGGCTACAAGTCCAAGATCAAGGTGCTGGCAGGACTTGGTTTCTGGTGGGAAATCTCTTCTTGACTTTCAAACAACTGCCTTCTCATGGCTGAGAGAGAGGGGGGGGGAGGGAGAGAGAGAGAGAGAGAGAGAGAGAGAGAGAGAGAGAGAGAGAGGAGGAAAGGAGAGGAGAGAAGAGAGGAGAGGAGAGGAGAGGAGTGGAGAGGAGAGGAGAGGAGAGAGATCTCTTTCAATAAGGCCACCAATCCTGTTGGGTCAGGGCCCCATCCTAATGACCCCACTTAACCTTAATGACCTCCTAAAAGTCCTGTCTCCAAATACAGTCACATTGGTGGTTAGGGCTTCAACATATGAATTTGGAGGGGACACAGCTCTCCCCCTTCCATTCATCCCCATCACCTCTCCAACCCCTTTCCATCTACCTGTCCATGTAGCCATCAGACATTGTTTATGGCTCCTTCTCACAGCGAGGCCACTGGTCACCTTTCTGCAGGAGCTGCTGTGCTTGGTGTCCTCTGGACCTACTGTGAGCTTTCCCATCTCTGGGCCTATGTCCAAGCCTGTGGGCACCAGGGATGCCCACCCCCACTGCCCCCCCCCCCCCAGCTCTGCACCCCTTCAGGAAGCCGGCCCTAACCAGCCTGCTCTGCGCTGTGTGGCTGGTAGCACCCTGCCTCTCCTGAGTCCACTGCAGCCAGCTTTCTGAAGAGTGGCCCACTGGCCCTCCTGCCGTCTCTCAGATCCTCCTCCCCTGCCATCCCTCTTCCCATTCTTCGGGCCACCCACCCCCTATCTGCTGTCTGTCTGTCCCACGATCCAGCTGCAGAGAGCAAGGCAGACACTTCCCACATCCTCCGGCCCCTGTGACCCCAGCCTGAGGGGGCCTTGCCAGAGGGGTGGGGAGGGAGTGACATCCGGTCCCAGCCTCCCTCCTCGTAGACGCTATGGCTTGGGAGGAGGGCCCCTTTCCCCCACGCCCTCAGTGACTGGGGGCGCCGAGCACCTCCTGCCGCTGCGGTGGGAGGGGCATTTTGGTGGAGTTTTATTGACCTTGTGCTTCCGGGCAGACAAGGGAGGAAAAATGAAAAACCCTCAAAAACCCCTTCCTCGGCGTCGTGGGGAAATTTCTGACATTTTGCTGCCCTCCCCTCCGCCATCAGTGCTCAGCTGTGGGGCAGGGCGCGGGGGCGGGCTGGTGGAGGAAGGAAACGGGGGCCTCGGGACTTTGAAATTGAGATGTCAGATGTCACCGAACCCAGCCTGTGGCCCAGGCCCCTAACGCCCTCTCCTGCATCCTTGACAGCTGATCCCAGCCCTCCGCTTACACACCCCCGGTGACGGTGATGGGGAGCTCACGCACTGCTCCTAACCGTGGCCGGGACTGACGTCAGAGGGCGATGGAGCCCTGTGCCTGCCTCTGCCCTGAGTGGTCCCTGCTCAGGGCACTGCTCCAGGGCTTCCCTGGCCCAAGTCCTCCCGTGTTGGACCAGGATCCTCCTCAGCATGCTCTGGGCCAGCCACTGTGCCAAGCCCTTTGCCTACCTATCTGCTCACTGAACCGGATCAGAGACATGGGCTGGCAGGGATTGGTCCATGGCCTTGGGCCAGCAAGTGGCTCGGGTGGGGCTCCCCTGTGGCCGTCTAACTCAGAACCCCAAGCCCTTCCACCTTATTTGGTGCTGACCCCCATGGCATTGCATCTGGGAGGCGGCAGAGCATATCCGAGAAGAGCCCAAACCCCCCACTTACTCTGCACCCTGCTTCCAGGATCAGCCCCCTGCTCGGGCCCAGAGCCGCTGCCTGCAGGGAGGGCCCCCTGCCCAGCGGTGGGGGGACTGTGTGACGCCAGGCCTGGTGCCAGCCGGAGAGCACGGTATGACTGGGTCCCACCTGTGCCAGGAGCTGAGGGTTTCTCCCAGGCGGTGAGCAGGGAGGAGGGGAGGCCTGGCTGGCCCACAGCTCCCCTCCCCGTTCTCCAGGGAAACAGGAGAAACACCGGGCAAGCATCTTTCACCCCCAATTCCAAAGCCAAGGTCAGAGCATCTGAGGGCTCAGAGGAGTCCAGATGGTCACCTCCACTCTGGTCCCCGAGCCAGGACTGCCCGGGGCCACTGCAGGGGCAGAGGTGGGCTGGGGCGCTTCCCTAAGAAGGATGGCCTGTGGGTTGGGAAGCCCTTCCTACAGGCAGTTAGCATCTAGGGGGCGCTGCTGGGAGATGGGGAACACGCTCCTGGGGACCTGGCCTGGAATATTCAGGGGGGCCTGGCTGGAATATACAGGGGCCTGGGGCCCAGACTCAGTGCGGGCAGTTTGTGGGGCCAAAGCAGCTGGGGTTGCCTGACCACCCCGAGGCTGAGCTGCGGCAGCGCAGGGACGGAACGTTGGGACAAACGGCGCGTTGGGGGTCAGAGCCCCGATCAGAGGCCGGAGCAGGTGTGGCGGAGGCGGGAGGGGACGGAGGCCACTTGGGAATCGATTCTGAGAGCAACACCGCAGCGGCAGCCTCGGAACCACCGCTGTTTCTGATTGTGAAAGTGATAGCGGGGAGACCTCCGTGGGATCCGGGAAAGAAGAGGAGAGAAATGAGTCACCCCCATGGTTCTTAGGCTCCGTGGCTCCAGGCCCTGCGGCCTGTCTGCTCTCTGCTCCGGCCACCTGCCCTCCCTCGGGGCCTCTGCCCGCGCCTCTCCGCAGCCCCTTCTGTCCTGCAGGCCGGGCGAGGCCCCAGACCGGGGCTCCCCCGCCACCCCCCACCTCCTGCTTTACTCTCTTCAGTTTGCATCCCCGTTGGAAGCGAATGTGCTGATTTCCACGTGACGTGCTGCCCTCTGTCCCGGGCTGGGGGTGCACTCCCGGGGGCAGGTCCCCGTCGCCAGCCTCTCCACCAGCGCCTGCAGCGGGTGTGGAGCGGGGAAATTCCCCCGAAATGAGTCACTCGGCCTCGGAGCCTGTGCACTGAAAGCATCATTCTGAGCCGCGTCCACAGGCGCCCCCAGAATGGCTTCGGGGCGCAGGGGATGCGGAGAACCCCTGGTCTAGGGCCTTTGGGTTGTAACTGGCAGAAGCCTAACTCAGGCCCAAACAAGACGGAAGAGAAACAATGGGCTCACTAACAGAGAAATCATGGCGCCATGGATTCTGGCCTGATGATGTCATCTGAGTCCATTTCTCTGTGTCCGTGGCCTCTGAGTCACCTCCTCCTCAGGTGGACCCAGCTCCAGCTGCAGCACCAGGACAGGGCAGCTCGGGACCTAAGTTGCCCTTTGAACCAGGAAACAGTAAAGAGGGGGCTCTTTTCCGGTAACTTTTGTGAAACTCAGAGATGGGCTCATTGGCTGGCATTGGTCCCATGAACCAATCACAGCGTTGAAGAAGATGCATTCTGATTGATCTGCCTGGGTCACTTGCCAATTTTGAAGGATGACGTATTCTGATTAGTCTGCCTGGGCCATGTGTCCATCCTAAAGGATGAAGCATTCTGATTGGCCTGCCTGGGTCACGTGCTCAATTGGAAGGGCCATGGGGGACATCCGGGCTAGAACTCGCAGACATAAAGTGGGGCAGGACAGGAGAACACCCTGTGGACATCCAGGACTTTACCAGCCCGTTTGCCCCGCGCATTGGGCCTCAGCATCATGCCTCTCCCATCAGAGACGCTGGGTGCTTTGCCAGCCTCTCAGTCAGGCTGGGTTAAGCTCCTCATGCTCTGAGGACTATGGCTCCCCAGTTCCCACAATGCAGGGGACCCCGGGAATAATAAGAACAGTGCTCCTGCCCAGCCGGCGTGGCTCAGTGGTTGAGTGTCAGCCTATGCACCAGGAAGTTACGGTTCGATTCCCAGTCGGGACACATGCCCGGGTCGTGGGCTTGCTCCCCAGTGTGGGTGTGCAGGAGGCAGCCAATCAGTGATTCTCTCTCATCATTGATGTTTCTATCTCTCTCTCCCTCTTCCTCTCTGAAATCAATAAAAATATAGTAAAAAACAAGATAAAAACAAAATCCCAAACAGTGCTCATCCAGTGCCTGCTGTCTGCCTGCCCTGCCGTGGGACTTGACGCATGCTAGTCTTCACAATCCCTCCAATCCTCTCAATGATCCTATTATTAACGTGGTGTCCCTGCGGTCTCTGTGACTTGCCCAAGGCTACCCACTCAGCAGGCGGCAGCCCTGGAGTGCCAGACCCAGCTTTTCTCCCTCACCCGTGCTGCCTGCCTGCCTGCCGGGCCATCAGGGGCAAGGCCTGCCCTCCTGGGCATCAAAGCCTCTGCCATGAGTTGCGCCAACATGTTGGGGGGTTAGGCGTGCTGCTGGGACAGGCTTCAGGGATGAGAGTGGAAGGGGTGCCCCTGAGAATTTGCCAAGGCGGCCTGGCCTGGAGCTTCTCCGCTTCTTTTCCAGGGTCGTCCCCACAGCACCTGTGCCCGCAGGGGCCATCCGACTGCAGGAAGCAGTGCCAGCAGGACTACTACCTGGGCAGCGCCAACCGGTGCACAGCCTGTGTGACCTGCAGAGGTAAGAGCCGCCCTCCCCTCCACGGCGCCTTCCAGCGAAGCGGCCTGGGGTGGGGGGTGGGGTTGGGGTTCTGGGGAGAGACAGAACCTAGAAGGTGGGGAGCATCGAGATTTGGTGACTGCACTCTGGCCTGGCCTCCTGGTGCCTCCGTTACCACTCTAGCTTTGGGAATTGATACCAGCCATGACCTTATGCGCCCATACATTTTGGAGAGATTTAATTCACCTTTCCTCAAGGGAGGGACTCACATTTACTGAGTTTAATGTTTGCAGGACCCGTAGGGGAAGATTCTTTCCTTCTCCCTGCTTCCCAGTGAGGACACGGAGGCTGAGGGAGGTGGGGCCTTCCCTAAGTCACACGGCTCTGGTGAGGGCCACCTGGAGTGTGAGCTGAAGATCTGACACAAGAGCTTCCAGTGGAACTCTCTCAATAAGCGCCTTGTTGTGAATTTATTTTATTTTATTTTATATATTTTTTATTGACTTTTTACAGAGTGGAAGGGAGAGGGATAGAGAGTTAGAAACATCAATGAGAGAGAAACATCGATCAGGTGCCTCCTGCACATCTCCTACTGGGGATGTACCCGCAACCAAAGTACATGCCCTTGACCAGAATTGAACCTGAGACCCCTTCAGTAGGCAGGCTGATGCGCTGTCCACAGAGCCAAACCAGTTAGGGCAAGTTGTGAGTTTCTTATGGTGAATGTGGTTTGTGTGCTACCTGGTGTGTGTTTTGCTTTTGTGCGGGTTTTTTGAAAGGTGGTGGTGGGGAATGTGTTGCGATTTCTTGGCCTAATGGATATTCTTATTTCTTAGCATGCTTAGTGTATTTGAAAAAAAATGTATATTCTGTTTGTTCCATTCAGAATTCTACACATACCTATTAGGTCAAGTTTATTCATTGTATTATGTAAATAATACATATTAATAAATTATTATTTATTTATTAATAAATAAATGTAAATAATACACATTCTTATTTAGTTTTGTCACCTCCACAGAGGTTGATTTCTGAGGTAGATGTGTTAAAATCTACCTTCTGCCTGACCAGTGTGGCTCAGAGGTTGAGCTGTGAACCAGGGGGGTCACAGTTTGATCTTCGTCAGGGTACAAGTCCTGATTTCAGGCTCAATCCCCAGTGGGGGTCATGCAGGAGGCAGCCGATCAATGATTCTCATCATGGATGCTTCTATCTCTCTCTCCCTCTCCTTTCCTCTCTGAAATCAAGAAAAATATATTAAAAAAAAAATCTATCTCCCAATATGCTTGTTTTTCATTAGATTTTCCTTGTGTTCTCTTTCTGCTTTATAAAGGTCAAAGCTGTGTCATTAGGTATAATGTTCATGAACATTATGTTTTCTTGGCAAGTTGGACCTTTTATCAACATGAAGGCTACTTCTTTGTTCCCTTATAATGTGTTCGCCTGGATTCCATTTTTGTTTGATACTAGCATTGCCATTCTTTGTTTATGTGAGCATTTCTCCGGTAGAGCTTTCAAGTTTTAAAATGAATGACTGCATTTGATTAAGTGAAAGTTATATGTGTTCTCGACCCCAAATTCAACCAATAGAGAAGTATAAGGAAGAAAGCCTGCTCTGCCCCTCCCCCATCCCTGGATGATTGAGGCTTTTCTCTGTAGAGAGAAGAATGGGTAGGCTAGTAGCTAGACTACACATATACAGAAAGAAGGAATTTTTAAGAGGAGAAGATAATACTATCTATGGCATTAAAATGATTACATTTATTTATTTATTAATATTTATTAATTTTTTGGAGAGAGAGGGAGAGATTTGTTGTTCCGCTTATTTATGCATTCATTGGCTGATTCTTTTATGTGCCCTGACTGTGGATGGAACCTGCAACCTTGGTGTATTGGGAGGATGCTCTAACTAACTGAGCTACCTGGCCGGGACCGGAACTTTTTCATCTTACCCAACTGAAACTCTGTCCCATTAAACGTTAGCTCCTCAGTTTCCCCTACTCTTGTCCCCCACCCTTTGGCAACCACCATTCTACTCTCTATGAGTGGACTACTCTAGGAAGTTCATGTATGTGGAATCATGTAATTTCATCCTTTTGTGGCTGGTTTACTTCACTCAGTATAATATCCTCACGGTGCATGACGTGGTAGTAGCATGTGTCAGAATGTCCTTCCTTCTTAAGGCTGAACAACAGTCCATTGTATGTTTATTTATCCACTAGACTCGCACATGTGTCAAACACAAGGCCCGCGGGCCAAATCCGTCCCGCCAGGTCTTGCAATGTGGCCCGCACCGCGCTGTCATCACTGCACTCCGCTGCGTTTCCATCACAATGACAGTTTATGACTGTTCAGTAAACCATTCGGCCTGTGATTTAGGCTGGATTTTAGATTTTGGCCCCTTCTCTGATTGAGTTCGACACCCCTACACTAGAGGCACAAATATTTGTGCAAGAATAGGCCTTCCTTTCCCTGGCTGCCGGCACTACCTTTGCTCCAGCCCAGAGCTACGTTTCTGCCTTCCCATGCTGCCCAGAGGCCCAGAGGCGCTTGGGGCAGGGCTGAACGCCTGCTTCCCTCCCCACCCCCAGCTGCTGGGTGCCTGTGTATGCAAATCAACCCACCATCTTTGTTGGGTTAATTTGCATATGCACTCCTGATTGGCTGGTGGGTGTCGAGAAGGTACAGTCTATTTGCATCTTTTGTTAGTGTAGATATCAATGGACACTGGGTTGTTCCACCTTCTAACTACTGTGACTATTGCAGCTGTGAACATAGGGGCCACGTATCTTTTCAAGTTAGTGCTTGGATTTCTTTGAACAAATACCCAGAAGTGGAATTTCTGGGTTATAAGGTAGTTTTATTTTCAAATATTGTTTCCCATAGTGGCTGCACCAATTTACAATCCCACCAACCAGGCGTGAGGGTTGGTGGGATTGTAAATTGCTCTATTTCCTCTGAGAATATTAATTGTTCTGACACTAAAGGCTGTTATTCCTGTGTCTGCTTCCTCAAGCTTAGTGTATTTTTTAGTTTGGGGCTTTTTCGTCTCCGTGCTGGTTTCCTCTCATGTTTTGTTTTTGTTTTATGTTTTTTGCTTTAAAAAAAAATATATATTTTATTGATTTTTTATAGAGAGGAAGAGAGAGGTATAGAGAGTTAGAAACATTGATGAGAGAGAATAATCGATCAGCTGCCTCTTGCACACCCCCTACTGGGGATGTGCCCTCAACCAAGGTACATGCCCTTGACCGGTATCGAACCCGGGACCTTCCAGTCCACAAGCTGACGCTCTATCCACTGAGCCAAACCGGTTTCGGCTCATGTTTGGTTTTAGTTTGCATGATGGATCTCAGGACTTGGGGGGCTTGTGGAGCCCACTCCAGTGGCTGTGGGGGAGGTAGCAGGGCCAAGGTCTGTCAGTGGCTGGCCTTCTGGGTCTGAGGGTCTTTTTCCCCCAAGTCTGACCAGCCGCAGGGCACCACCCAGATCCCTCCCCCAGAGCCTCCTTGGGGAGATGCGTGGCCCCAGCTCTGTGGCATCAGCGGGTGAGGAATCTGGGGACACTGACCCGCCTGGATGCTCCTGTCCTCTTCACTGAGGCCCGGCTCTGCTGGGCCCCCAGCAGAGACTGGGGCACCCCGGGGCTCTCCCAGCACAGCCTCTTGGACATATTTTGGGCTGTGGCCTCCTTCTTCCATCAGTCCCATCTGCCTCCCATGTTGGGGGGAGTCTATCATTTCTGGTTGGCCAACGAAGCCCCTTACTGTTTTCCAGAGATGTTTGTGTTCACTCATTCATTACTCTTTCCAGTGACTTTTCTATTTGAGATGAAATTCACCATTAACCGTTTTTTTTTCCATAATGCATTAGATATGGTTGGTATTTTTATTTCTTTATTTCTTTAAAAAATATTTTTATTGCCGAAACCGGTTTGGCTCAGTGGATAGAGCGTTGGCCTGCGGACTGAAAGGTCCCGAGTTCGATTCCGGTCAAGGGCATGTACCTTGGTTGCGGGCACATCCCCAGTAAGGGGTGTGCAAGAGGCAGCTGATCGATGATTCTCTCTCATTGATGTTTCTAACTCTCTATCCCTCTTTCCTCCTCTCTGTGAAAAATCAATAAAACATATTAAAAATATTTTTATTGATTTCAGAGAGGAAGGGAAGGGAGAGAGAGAGATAGAAACATCAACTGATTGGCTGCCTCCTGCACATGGCCCACTGGGAATTGAGCCTGAGACCCAGGCATGTGCCCTGACCGGGAATTGAACCGCGACCTCCTGGTTCCTGGGTCGACACCCAACCACTGAGCCATGCTGACTGGGCCTGTTTGGTATTTTTAAATGCTTATATGTGCTTAATTCAGCAAATTCTCAGGTCACCACAAAACCAAAGTCTATGAGATTTCAAAACACGGTCAGACTGCAAGCAGGAGAAGAAAAGTCAGTCATTGCTGTGGCTTGCTTTGTGCATTCTATAATGAATAACTACCAGAAATTATTAATGGAAAAAAGTAAACCTTCTTTATGTGTATCCTTTGCACCCTGCAGGTTTAGCACATAATAATAATTATTATTTTTTAAAATATATTTTTATTTATTTTTTACAGAGAGGAAGGGAGAGGGATAGAAAATTAGAAACATCCATGAGAGAGAAACATCGATTAGCTGCCTTCTGCATACCCCACACTGGGGATGTGTCCGCAACCAAGGTACATGCCTTGACCGGAATCGAAGCCAGGACTCTATCCACTGAGCCAAACCGACTTACGGCAGCTCCTTATTTTTAACATAATTGGGATATTGTTTGTAAAATTGATTTAGTTTGTAAAATTCACTATTTTAAAATATTTTATTGATTGATTTTGAGAGGGAGAGATCAATTTGTTGTCCCACTTGTTTATGCATTCACTGGTTGATTCTTGTATGTGCCCTGACTGGGGATCAAACCTTTAACCTTGGAGTATCAGGATGATGCTCTAAGCAACAGAGCTATCCAGCCAGGGCTAAAACTCATCATTTTAAAGCAGGCGTCTTCAAACTACGGCCCGCGGGCCACATGCGGCCCGCAGAGGAGTCTGATCCGGCCCGCCAGGTTTTTTGGCAGTGAGCGCAGCCGAGGTGTTACAGTAGGAATTAGTAGTTCATATAGTCTGGCCCTCCAGCTCTCTGAGGGACCGTGATCTGGCCCCCACTTTAAAAAGTTTGAGGACGCCTGTTTTAAAGTGTACAGTGCAGTGATTTTACTATACTGGATTCACCCTGTGCCACCACCACCACCATCAAATTCCAGAATAATCTACCTCCCCGCAAAGAAACTCATGACCTCCCAAGTCTTTCCTCCTCTCATCCCACCCCACCCACTTTCCGTCGCTGTGGACGTGTCTGCCTAGGACATTTCATGGAAGTGGAATCCCAGGCTATGCATCTTACTCAGCTGAAGTGTTTTCAAAGTTGATCTGTGCGGTAACAGGTGTCACACTTCACGCCTTTCCACGGCTGAACGTGACTGCATTGCGTAGATGGGCCACGTTTTGTTTGTGATGTCGGCGGACACTTAGGTATCTCTACTTTGTGGCTGCTCAGATCATGTGTGAGTGTCTGTGTAGACATTTGTTTTTAGTTCTCTCGGTAGATATGTAGGCGTGGAATTGCTGGATCATAGGTAAATCTATGTTTGGCCCTGGCTGGGCAGCTCAGTTGGTTAGAGAGTTGTCCCAATATGCCAGGGTTGTGGGGTCAATCCCTAGTTATGGCATATACGAGGCTCAACCAGTGAATGCATAAATTAGTGGAACAATAAGTCTCTCTTTCTCTCTCCTCCTCTTCCTCTCTCTCTCTTCCCCTTTCTCTCTCTGTCTTCCTCTCCCTTCCTTTCTCTCTTTCATATCAGTAAGTAAAATTAAAAACAATAAATCTATGTGTAATTTTTGAGAACCGTCAAACTGGTTTCTACAGCACAATCTGATGACTGTCCCACTAGCATGGTGTGAATATTCCCGGTTCTCCACACCATTGCCAACACTTGCTGTTGTCTGTCTTTGTGGCTACAGCCGTCCTGGTGACTGTGAAGTGGTATCTCTTTGTGCTTTTGGTTTGCATTCTCCTAAGGACTAATGATATTGAGCATCTTTTATATTGTGATTTGTATATCTTTTCTGGAAAAACATTTTCTTAAATCCTTAGCTCATTAAAAAAAATACTTAATAGATTTTTTTTTTTTTTAAAGATAGAACAGCCGTCATATATATATTGATTTCAGAGAGAAACAGAGAGGGAGAGATAGAAATATCAATGGTGAGAGAGAATAATTGATTGGCTGCCTCCTGCATGCCCCCTACTGGGGATCGAGCCTGCAATCAGGGCATGTGCCCTTGACAGGGGAATCAAACCCGGGACCCTTCAGTCCACAGGCCGATGCTCTATCCACTGAGCCAAACCAGGTAGAGCCTTAATAGATCTTTTAAAAGAACAGTTTTCAATTTATAGAAAAATTGGACAGAAAGCACTGAGAGTCCCTTAGTCTCTCCTGTTGTAAACACCTTGCACGGGTGCGGTGTGTTGTTACAGCTGTTGAGCCAGTACCTGCACGTGATTAACTCAAGTTCATGGTTCACGTGAAGGTTCCCTCTTTGCGTTCGAAGTTCTGTGGCTCTTGACAAACGTGTCATGTCCTATATCCACGGCTGCAGTGTTTACGGGGTCGTCTCAGCCCCTAAGTCCTCTGTGCTCCCCTGTCTGTCCTCCCCCTCCTCCCCTTTACCTGGATCCTGGCAACCCTGGTCTTACTGGCTCCATGGTTTCGTCTTTTCCAGAATGTCAGAGTTGGAGTCAGCCTTTACAGATTGGTCTAGGTTGGTTTCTTTCACTTAGAAATAGGTGTTTAATGTCCTTTTTGCCCGTTTTATTAAAAAAAATATGTTTTTATTGATTTCGAGAGGAAGGGAAAGGGAGAGGGAGATGGAAACGTCAATGATGAGAGAGAATTATTGATCGGCTACCTCCTGCACGCCCCATAGCAGGGACTGAGCCGACAGCCTGGGCATGTGCCTTGACTGGAGATCAAACCATGACCTCCTGGTTCATGGGCCGACACTCAACCACTGATCCATGCCGGCCGGGTGCCCTATTTTAAAATTGGGCCATTATTATTATTATTTAAAATATATTTTATTGATTTTTTTTTTTTACAGAGAGGAAGGGAGAGGGATAGAGAGCTAGAAACGTCGATGAGAGAGAAACATCGACCAGCTGCCTCTTGCACAACCCCCACAGGGGGTGTGCCCACAACCAAGGTACATGCCCTTGACCGGAATCGAACCCGGGACCTTTCAGTCCGCAGACCGACGCTCTACCACTGAGCCAAACCGGTTTTGGCCATTAATTTGTTTTTAATACCAGCTTAGTGGTCTCCACGGTCGTGGGCTGGGAGGTGACAGCCTCAGGACCCTGCCTGTCCAGGGGAGGCCACAGCAGCCCTCTCTCGTGTGCAGACTGTCCCTGGCGGGTCCTCTGGTTCCCTCCCCTGGTCCTGCCTCTGTCCTCTGTGACCCTCTTCTGTGTCCTGTAGACGACCAGGTGGAGAAGAAGCCATGTTCCCAGAACTCCCCTCGTGTCTGTGAGTGCCGGGCCGGCATGTACTGTGCCACGTCAGCCTCCAACTCCTGTGCCCGCTGTGTCCTCCACTCCACCTGCCCCCCAGGGACGATGGTCAAGTCTCCCGGTGAGTACCCCACCCCTAGCCAGGGCCTGAGATCTGTGCCCACACCGCACCAGCCCCGCCGACCTCCAGGTGACCCTGCACCTCCCATGGCCTCCCTGTGGGGCAGATCACAACTCCTTTCGCAATGATGCCACCAGTGCGCCAGGCGCCAGGGCTCCTGTGCCCCTGTGCCCCACCCCCTCCCCCGGGGCCCAGCTCAGAGAGACACAGGCCTGGCTGGAAGAGACCCTGGGATGGTTTGAGGCTCAGGGCACAGCTTCTCTGAGGCAAGAAGGAAACCCTAAGTGTCTGTCCTGGGAGAGTCCTGGGAGTCAGAGGAGAAGAGACCCAGCACCAGGCTGAAGACTGAGAAACGGCTTTCTTTTCCAACGTGTTGTGTGACCTTAGGCAGCTTCCTAGTCTTCTCTGGGCTTCTGATTTTCTGACAAGGAGGGCCAGGCGGCCAGGGAGGAAATAAGGGCCACGGGTCCTGGGTGGGCGCATGGAGAGGGCCTTTCGGAAGGGAGGCCGCGGGAGCAGGTGGGCGTCGGACCACTGAGCCCCACGGGCCGGGCCAGGGGACTCTTGTCTGAGAGCATGTGTACGTGGGCACTCCTGCTGCTGGTTTGTTGGGCTCCATGTCTGAGCTACATAAAGCAAAGAGAAGGCCAGGGCACGCTCCTTCAGCCTCACGGCCCCGGGCCTGTCTGCCTTCCCCTTTCCCGTCCAGTCATTCAGGGCCTTGTGGGAGGAGGCAGGGAAAGCGCACCCACCCCGCTGAGCCTCCAGCATGCGGTTCACACCAGGACTCCCCTCCCCCCGTGGTGTGGCCCCTCCTTCCTCCAGCCCAGCGCTCAGCACCAGCCCCCTCTGTCTGGGCCCCAGCTGGTCTGTCTCCTCTCAGTTCCGGGGATGGGCAGGATGTTCCCCTCTACCAGGCCTTTGCATATGCTGTTCCCTCAGTCTAGGACACCCTTCCCACCCCATTCCCTTAGTTCACGCCTACTCAGCCATGAGCTGAGCCACGCAAAACTCTCTGCTGAGGGACACGCAGAAGCCCGCCACCCGCGAGCAGGGGCAGCAGGGTGGGGTGGAAAGCGCTCCGGACTGAGCGTCGGGTGCTTGGGATTTCACGTAGCTCTGCACCTGTGCAGTGTGTTCCTAACTCTCTCTGGGCCTCAGTCTCTCCGTCTGTCAAATGCCTGGAGTTCAGTTGTTCCAACTCGGGGTGTGGGCCAGTGGTTTCCCTGTGATTGCCACATGGTGGCGCCAGAGTCCTCTCTTTGCTGCCCTTAGACCCACCCTGCCTGAGGCTGGCCACATGTGGTCATTGAGCACCTAGAATGTGTCCAGTGGCACTGAGATATGCTGTCAGTAAGAACATGCACGGATTTCAAACAGTGTAACAGAAGGTAAACCATCTCATCATTATTTTATATATATATATATATTGATTTCAGAGAGGAAGGGAGAGGGGGAAAGAGATAGAAACATCCATGATGAGAGGAAATCATTGATTGGCTGCCTCCTGCATGCCCCACAGTGGGGACTGAGCCTGCAACCCGGGGATATGCCCTTGAGTGGAATCAAATCCAGGACCCTTCAGTCCGCAGGCCAATGCTCCATTCACTGAGCCAAACTGGTCAAGGCTCTTTTTACTTTTTAAAAATTAGCCTCAGCTGGTTTGGCTCAGTGGATAAGAGTGTCAGCCTATGGACTGAAGGGTCCCAGGTTCGATTCCAGCCAAGGGCACATGCCTAGGCTGTGGGCTCGATCCCCAGTAGGGGGCGTGCAGGAGGCAGCTGACCAATGATTCTTTCTCATCATTGATGTTTCTATCTCTCTATCCTCTCCCTGCCACTCTGAAAACAAGTCAATAAAAATATATTTTTAAAATATTTTTAAAATTGATTTTGAGAGAGAGAGGAAGGGAGAGGGAGAGAGAGATAGAAACATCGATGAGAGAGAAACATTGATTGCTTGCCCCCTTCCAGGGATGGAGCCTGCAACCTGGGCATGTGCCCTGACTGGGAATTGAACCAGCAACCTTTTGGTGCACAGGATAATGCCCAAGCAACTGAGCCACCCTGGCCAGGGCTGTACTTTTTTCTTTAAAAAAATTTATATTTTATTGATTTTTTTACAGAGAGAAAGGGAGAGAGATAGAGAGATAGAAACATCAATGAGAGAGAAGCATTGATCAGCTGCCTCCTGTACACCCTCTACTGGGGATGTGCCTGCAACCAAGGTACATGCCCTTGACCTGAATCGAACCCGGGACCCTTCAGTCCCTAAGCCGACCCTCTATCCACTGAGCCACACCAGCCAGAGCAGGGCTGTCCTTTGATGTGGTGACTAGGAGATTTAAATGGCCTGTGTGACCTCATCCTATTTCTATGGAACAGTGCGCTTTGGGAGGGCTCAGCCTTTGGCTGCCAAACCCCGGCAAACGTCTAGGTCCCCCTGTGGGCTCTCCCACGGGGCAGCGTCTCTCCAGCTGTAAAACGGAAAGTAGTGTCTGGGTCAGGTTCAGCCCCCGCTGAGCCCCAGCTAAGAGCTCGCCCAGGCTTCCCGTTCCTGAAATTCACGGACTCCCACGAGGCGGACTGCATGAGCTCCACCCCGCAGGGAGGACATGGAGGTCCAGGCGGCGGGCACGTGGCTCAGGACCGCCGAGCAGAGAACATGGCGCGAGGGCTGGGAGGTCATCCGCAGGTCCTTTCTCTGCGACGGGACGGGGTCCAGAGGAGGAAAGGGACAGGGCATTCACTGGACACTTGCTGTGTGTCCCACCGTGAGAGAGGCACACAGGGCGAACGCTCTGTCCCGACAGCAGCCTGGGTAATTATTATTATTATACAGTGTTATTATTACTATCCTTTGCCTTGTCTGTCGCGGCTACAACACGAGAGAGGTGACGGGCACACCCAGGCCCACTTGAGGGCAAACGCTGTGAGTTTTCCTCTCCACTCCGCTTCCAGTTAGTCTTCAGGATTCTTTGGGTTGCAAGTGGCAAAAATCTTACGTTTGTGGCTCATGTAACTGAAAAGTCAGGGGACAGCTCTGGGTAGCTTCAGGCATGGCTGGATCCAGGCGCCCTGACGTTTCCTACCTCTCAGCTCTATCCCCTATTCTTAGGCGTCTGTAAGATGCCTCCCAGCAGCTCCGGGCTTGCTTCATACCCAACCTCAGTGGAGAGACAACGTCTTCGTCCTGCATTTCCAACAGCCAAAACCAAAACTCTGACATGGCATCTCAGAACGGTGTGTCTGAGGTCATGTGCCCGTCCCTGAGCCAGTCCATCTTGGCCAGGGGAATGGAAGAAATGGAAGGATTTGATTGGTCCATCCTGTCCCCATGGGGAAATGAAGGGGTGGTGGTGGAGGAAATCAGCCCTAAAAACAGACACTGAGATTGGGGGGACGGAGGCTGGGCTGGTGCGAACACCGGATGGCCACTGTGTTTGCCAAGTGCCCATCCGGACCGACTCTGGTTTGCGGTGGTAAAAGCTATTCCTGGAGTCCTCGGACTCCTCCCCACCAAGGCTGAAGGCATTGTGTCCCCTGCAGGCACCGCGCGGAGGGACACCGTCTGTGAGCCCCACTCCCCAGGGGCCAGCCCTGCCTGCGGCGAGGGCCGCGAGGACTGCAGGGCGCCTGCCAGGTGACTCCGGCCCTTCCCATCCAGCTGGCCTCCGTGTGGGGCTGTCTCCCACACAGGATGCCTGCACCATAGCTGGGAGGGAGAGGAGGGGCGGTTGGCAGGGGGGTGATTCAGCGCAGGGTGCCTGGGCTCCAGCGCATAGCAGTGAGCGTGGAGAGAGGCCATCCCTGAAGTCATTTATGGCCCTACTGTGTGCCTCCCCTGCCTTGATTTCTCAGGAGCAAAGGAGGCCCAGAAAACACAGCCCTGGCTCCTTGACCGAGGGGGGGCCCTGCCAGAGGCTGCAGGCAGGAGGTCTGGGGCCCCCTGCTCCAGAGAAACAGTCCCCCCTGAGGCCCGGCCTCCCCTGCCCCATCCGCAGAACCGTTCGTCCCATCTCTGGCTTTTCCCCCAGCGGCACCACCCCCCGGGCCCAGCCCGCCCTGACCTCAGCCAGCTCTGAAGCCAGGACCCCGCTTCTTGAAGGGGACACTCCTCCCACCCCCGAAGCGGATTCCAAAATGCTGAGGGCTCCCGATGTTCTTTCCTCCGCGGGGAAGCCCCGTCTGGATGCAGGTAATTTCTCCAATGCTGTCTGGTTGGTGGGTGGCCTGTGGGTGGTGGTCCGGGCAGGCAGGCCCTGAGTGGTGGTCTTTGCCAGTGTGGGGCAGAGAGGTTGGAGGCACTGAGATCCAGCATAGACAGTGGGGGCACCCACGCAATTAACAGCAGTTTGGGGTGCCTCCCGAGTGCCAGACTATCGGGGCGGAGCTGCTGCTTGCAACAGAGCAGGTGAGCCTCTGCAGGGGTCGGTTTTCTGTCCTCTTGGTTCTCATGGCGACAGGTTGGGGCCCCCAGTTCTCTCCTGTTTATTACTTAACTAGAGGCCCATTGCAGGAAGATTCCTGCAAGAATAGGGCTTCTTGCAGCCTTTTCCACTGCCTCTCACCCTCCTGTCTCTGCCACCTCACTCCCTTCTCTGCTGCTTCACTCCCTTCTGCAGTGCTTGGCTTCCTTCTATGCTATCTTCAGTCTTAGCTCTGCCATCTTTGTTGGATTAACTTGCATACTCACTCCTGATTGGCTGGTAAGTATAGTGGAGGGACGGTCAATTTGCATGTCTTAGTGTAGGTAGCCTCCCATTGTGGAGGTATGCCACACTGCTTATTTAGATAGATATTTGAGTTGTTTCCCCTTTGAGGTATAATGAATAATGAAAAATCTTGGCGTGAATGTATTTGTTCGTTTCTCTTGGGTTTTTGTTTTTTTTAAAATCACATGTAGGACTTCTTATAATTCTGGGTTGTGTCCTACAGTTGTGCTCAAATATGTCCTCCCACCCCGTGGCTTGCCTTCTCATTCTCTTTATAGAGGCTTTCCCTGAAGAGATGTTCTTAATTTTAACGCAGTCCATCTTTTCCTTTGTGTTGAGTGCTTTCTGTGATCTGCCTTGTAAGACTCTCCCTCCTCGGAGCTCTCAGAGACAGCCTGCATTTATTGTCTGGGATCATTATTGCTTTGCCTTCCATGTTCGGCTTTGCCCTCTATCCTGGTTTGTGTGTATGGCATGAGGCAGTGGTCATGTTAAAAGTGTCCATGTGGCTATCCAGCTGAACTAACACCATCTCACCTAATAAAAGAGTAATATGCAAATTGACTGTCACTTCAACACACAAGATGGCTGCCCCCATGTGGTCAAAGATGGCAGCCCCCATATGGACACAAGATGGCCACCACAAGATAGCTGCCACAAGATGGCTAGCAGGAAAGGGAAGTTGGGAGTGATCGGGCCTGCTGAGGAGGGCAGTTGGGGGGAATCAGGCCTGCAGGGGAGGGTAGTTAGGGGCAAACAGGCTGGCAGGGGAACAGTTAGGTATCAAGCTGGCAGGGGAGTGGTTAGGGGGTGATCAGGCTGGCAGCAGAAATGGTTAGGGGCAATTAGGAAGGCAGGCTGGTGAGCAGTTGGGAGCCAGCAGTCCTGGATTGTGAGAGGGCAGTCGGACATTTCTCAAGAAGTCCCAGATTGGAGCCAGATTGGAGAGGGTGCAGGCTGGGCTGAGGGATACAACAGCACGCCCCCCCCCCCCCCCCGCGCACAAATTTCATGCACTGGGCCTCTAGTTTACCAAATAAATGGTCCTTTCCCCACAGTTTTGCATGCCAGCTTTGTGTACGTCTAAAGCCCATGTCTTTGTGAGTGTGACTCTGTGTGGGTGTCTCCTGTTCCACGAGTCTTCTTGCCTATTGTGTGAACACCACACTCTCAATTCCTGTAGTTTTTCAGTCCGTCTTCATGGATGGATGAGCAACTTGTTCAGCTCTGTCCTTCTAGTATTGGCTATTCCAGTAATTTGCATTTCCATGTACATTTTTAAAGTTCGTTTTTGATGTTTTTTTAAGTTGATTTCAGAGAGAGGAAGAGAAAGGGAGAGAGAGTCAGAAACATCATCGATTGACTGCCTCCTGCATGCCCCCTATTGGGGATCGAGCCTGCAACCCAAGCATGCGTCCTGACCAGGAATTGAACTGTGACCTCCTGGTTCATGGGTCAACACTCAACCACTGCACAACACCAGCAGGGCTCCACATACATTTTAGAACAAGCTTTTCAAATTCCACAGGATGTCTTACTGAGGTTTTGATGAGGGTTGCCTTGAAGCTGTAGATCAGTTTAGAGAGAATCCACCCTTTCAGTGTTGAGTACACGGCATAGCCATACATTTATTTAGGTCTTCTTCAAATTCTCCTGGGAATGCTTTATTATTTTTTCTATGTAGAGATGCTCACATGTTTTTGTTAGAGTTCTATGTATTCCATATTTCTTTTTTTTTTTTTTTGTTAAATATATTTTATTGATTTTGTTCAGAGAGGAAGGGAGAGAGATAGAGAGTTAGAAACATCAATGAGAGAGAGTCATCGATCAGCTGCCTCTTGCATACCCCTTACTGGGGATATGCCCGAAACCAAGGTACATGCCCTTGACCAGAATTGAACCCGGGACCTTTCAGTCCCCAAGCCGATGCTCTATCCATTGAGCCAAACCAGTTTCTGCATGTATTCCATATTTCTGATCATGATCCTACGGTATCTTTTTCAATACGTCATGTTCCAATTCTTTTTGAACCGTGTGAAATTGCCAATATTTGACTGGCTGACCTATCAAAAGAGCATTTTCATATGGGTTCAATCCACATATACAGACATTTGATTGACTCAGATATCATAACATTGTATCCAACTCCCTTGCTCATTCACTTATCAGTTCTAATAATGCATCTGCAGATTCTTTGGGATCATCTGTGTACTCAGATGGCTATCTTTCTTCCTAAAAATTGTCACTTTTATTTATTTTTCTTGCCTTATTGCATTGCCTGGGACCCCTGTACCCTGCTTGAATAGATGTTGTGAGAGTAGAGCACCTTGCCTCATTGCTGATCTCAAAGGGAAATTGGCCGTCAAAGTCTTGAGGAGTGAGCGTGGAGCGACCGCCCTGGCATGGTGGAGATGGTGGATCGTTTGGGGGGTGGGGTGAACACCAAAGATAGAGGGGGGCTCAGAGCTCATCTCCTGTGTGGCCTTACACACAGCCCTGTCCTCTCTGAGCCTCATGACCTGCTCTGGGGATGGGTCTGACATGTGTGAGGGTTGGGAGCTGGCCACGGAGCTGGGGGGAGCTTCAGTGATGGTGGGGAGGTGAGGCCTGACCTGGACTGTCTGTGCTTCCATCCCCAGGACTGTCCCCGCAGCACCTGTGCCCTCTGGGGTCCACCGACTGCAGGAAGCAGTGTGACCGGGACTACTACCTGGACAAGGACGGCCGCTGCACAGCCTGCGTGACCTGCTCAGGAGGTAGGGGCCCGTCTTTCCACCAGCGGGTGGGGGTTAGACAAAAGGAGATTATGTGCATTCTTGAGTAGGCTCTGAGCATCCCTGGTGCCAGGCTGGATTTAGATATCAAAATCCACATCCCTGCACCACAGGCTGAAATGAAGGCCAAACTGACAACACCCTGCCCTTTTGGCAAGGTGTGTTTCCAGGGCGTGGCTTTGCCGATGCCAGTGGGTTCAGCTGACATTAATTAAAGAATGCCCATGTGTCTTCCCAGGGGGCCTCTACATCTCTCCTGTTTTTCAGTTTTAAACGGGCACACTAATGGTGCTGTCTCAGAGAGTGGTGGGATGAAGATCAAACTGAGATAATCAGGTAGAATTGAAGAACACTGCCTCTCGCACACACGATTATGTCAGTAGCCATAGGGGTGATCATAGCTGCCATCATCCCAAGTCATCTCGCTCATGGCCCAGCCCACTCCTGCCCTTTGCACAAACTCCCCCAGTGCCCGCCAGTGCCCGCCAGTGCCAGCTCTCTCCGGAGGTGTGGCCCCTCGCTTTTGTCATGTGAGGCCTCTAAGTAACAGCCCAGAAGAAGGATTCTTATGGAGCGAGTCACCTTGGTCTCGTCCGAGGCAGCGACTCTATTTTCACATACAAGGAGCACACAAAACATCTCCAAACACATGCAAGTGCATGATTATACCTTTTCTTTTAGAAAAGCTCTAACCTTTCATTTGTTTGTTTTTTGGGGAAAAAACCTTCTTATTATTGACAATTTCGAACCTGTTCAGAAGTAGAGGGACCGGGAATGGGATGGGCGGTCACTAGTTTCAAAGCATCGGGCTCAGTCTTGGTGCATCTATCCCCATGCCCTGTCACCCTGCCCTCTGGGAGCCTTTAGCAGCTTTATTCGGACACTAGAGGCCTGATGCACGGAATTCCTGCAAGGGCCTGGCCTTCGCAGCCCTGACCGAGAGGGAGAGGGAGAGGCAGAGAGAGAGAGGAAGGGGGAGAGAGGAAGGAGGAAGAGGAGAGGGAGAGAGAGGGGGGGAGGAGGAAATGGGGAGGGAGGGAAGAGGGAGAGGGAGAGGAAGAAGGAGAAAGGGAGGGAAAGTCGATCTGATGGAGAGACAGTGACCCAGAGCCGTTCTGGAAGGTTGTTCTGCCATCTGGTCTAATTAGCATATTAGCTCTTTATTATGGAGGATAGTTGATGTCTAATAAAACACGTGTTTAAAGTGTGTAATTTGGTACATTCTGACATGTGTATGCGCCTGTGTAACCACCACCACCAGTGAAGGTAATAGACCACCCATTGCTCCCAAGCTTTCTCATGCCCCTCATCTTCCCTCCCCCCCCCCCACCCCCCCCCACGCCCAGGCAGTCCTGCTTTCTCACTTCGGAATAAGCTGCGCCTTCTAGCACTTTCTGTCAGCAGAAGCGTGTAGGATATGCTCCTTCCTTGTGTGTCTTCTTTTGCTCAGTGTCCTTGTTCTGAGCGGGCCGGAGACCAGCTGGATGGGGAAGTCAGGAGAATGACTGCTCCTGGGCGAATGCACCCCCGCCCTCCGGGGCCCCCTGCCCCCGCTGGCTGCCCTGGCCGTCCCCCACCCTCCCTTTCTCTGTGCCCCTCAGATCACCTCGTGGAGAAGACACCTTGCACGTGGAACTCCTCCCGCGTCTGTGAATGCCGACCTGGCACGTTCTGTGCCACGTCAGCCAGGAACTCCTGTGCCCGCTGCGTCGCCTGCCCTGCCGTCCCGCCCAAGGGGGCCGCCGCATGCCTGGGTAAGCGGCCCACCCCCCGATGGGGGGCTGAGGTCTGTGCCCAGCAGCCGGCGGCCGTATCTCTCCCACCCCCACGGGGCAAAGGGCCTTCGACCCCCGCTGTGAACGAGGTCGGGTTTGGGCCTTGATTTTTCCTTGGATAACTAGATCCCGTCAGTGGCGTGAGATCCACGTGGGTCATTTTGGTAAGAATTCCTGATGATGACATGTGTTTTCGAAGTAGCGTTTTGGGTTTCTTCGGGCCAACACCCAGAAGTGGGGTCGCTGGGTCATGTGGTAGTTCTAGTTTTGATTTTCGGAAGAGTCTTGGTATGGTTTCCAGAGTGTCTGTGCCCATGTATACTCCCACCAGCCGTGCATAAGAGCTCCCTCTTCTGTGCATCCTCATCAACAACTTCATTTATTCTTGCTGTGCGTTCACTCATTCTTCTCCCTGAAAGTATTGGGCTGGTAAAATCTTGACTTATTGGCAAGGCTGTTGTACTGACTCAAGACAGGCTCATGGGAAGAGGCCTCCCAGCCCAGCCGGTGGCCGCCGGCCAGATTGCAGGGAAGTCGGAACTCGGACCGAAGAGCAATCAAAGCTGGCTCAGCAGCGGGGAGAGGTGCCAACACATCCCTCGAAAGCAGAGAGGAGAGGAAAGGAGGGTGACGGGCAGAACCCAGGGGAAGGAAGCTCACCCCAGAATTCACGCAGGAGGGCCGGGGGACGGCGAGAGGTGACTTACTTACCAGAGTCCCCAGGGAGGCGCCGGGCTCAGAGCAGACAAACAAATCGAATGATGGGAGTGACACGGAGAACTGCTAAGTGTAACTCCAACTTTAAAATAAAATAAAATAAAAAAAATAAAATAAAATAGTCTGTACCAATGCTGACCATGGACACGGAGCAGTCTGAGCAGGAGGAGCCTGAGATTTTATCTCCTGGTGAAAACGATCTGCTTTTTGGCTAAAAACCCTGAAGGGGTCTCTATGGGGAGCCAGGCTTGCTGAGATGCTGCCGCTCCAGGTGCCGCCCTCGCTGTGTGTTTGGGAGCACATCCTGCGTACGGCACTCGCTGCTGTGCTCTGAGGGAGGACGCCAGCCCACATGCCCACCCTCAGGCCGGGGGGCTGGGCAGAGACCCATTTGGGAAGGACACACTGACACCGCGGCACAAGGACCCCACCAGCTCCTGGGAGGCCGGGTCGTCCTTTGTAAGTAACGCGAGCGGGCGGTGCAGACGTTCCGGCCTCAGGGAAAACCAGAGAATAACAGCACACATGAACCGGAGAGCTTCCTACAGCGGACGCCACGATGAACCCAGGAATCGCCGGGAACTTAAAAGATTCAAACCAAATGGCTCTAGCTGGTTTGGCTCAGTGGATAGAGTGTCGGCCTGCAGACTGAAGGGTCCCGGGTTCGATTCTTGTCAAAGGCATATGCTCGGGTTTGTGGGCTTAATCTCCAGTGTGGGGCTTGCAGGAGGCAGCCGATCAATGGCTCTCTCTCATCAGTGATGTTTCTCTCTCCCTCTCCCTTCCTCTCTGAAATCAATTAAAAAAAATATTTAAAAAAAAATTGATTTATATATATAAATAAATATTTAAACGTGCCCACAGAAACATCCAGGAAGCTGTTACACCCACACAGTGAGGACAGAATGCTGTGGAAAAGGAACAGCAAAAAAACAGCGGGAAAGAGAGGCTTCTAGAAGGTGTGCTTGTTACCCATCCATTGCCTCTCAGCTCCTAGTTCACCCTCAGGGCCTGCTCTGCTGTCAAGGATTGGACTCTTGACTCTTGAAGCATTTCTCCTTGTGAGCATGATGTTAAGCGTCACCAGTAGAAGGCACTGGTTCTTTATCCATTTATAAATGGACTAGAGGTCCCGTGCTTGAAATTTGTGCACTGGAGAGAGGGGTCCCCTCAGCCCAGCCTGCACCCTCTCCAATACAGGACATCCCTCTTACAATCCAGGACTGCTGGCTCCTAACTGCTTACCTGCCTGCCAGCCTGATTGCCCTTAACTGCTGGCCTGGTTGCCCCCAACTGCCCCTCCTGCCAGCCTGGTTGCCCCATGCAGCCTGCTGTTCAGTTGTTTGGTCATCCCTCACTAACCTCCCCCCAGCCTGCTGTTCGGTCCTTACTGTTACTGCGACGGCATCCTGGACAGTTTGCATATTCCTCTATTATTAGCACAGATGGACACAGGTTGCTTCCCTGGCTTAGCTAGTGTAAACACTGCTGCAATGAACATAGGGGTGCGGATGTGTTTTTTAATTAGTGTTTTAGGTTTCTTTGGTTCAACACCCAGCAGTGGTGTTGCTGGATCATCTGGTAGTTCTATTTTTGATTTTTGGAAGAACCTCCGTATGGTTTTCCAGAGGGTCTGTACCGATTCATAATCCCATCAGCAGTGCATAAGAGCTCCCTCTTCTCTGCCTCTTCATCCACACTTGTTGTTCTTTGATTTATTGGTGATAGCCATGTGACAGGTGCAAGGCGGCACCTCACTGTAATTTAATTTGCATTTCCCTGATTAATGATGTTGAGCATCTTTTCACACGTCTGTTGGCTGTCTGTAGGTCCTCTTTGGAGAAATATCTATTCAGGTCCTCTGTCCATTTCTTCATCGGATTGTTTGTCTCTTAGGTGTTAAGGTATATGAGTTCCCTATATAGTTTGGATATGAACCCCTTATTGGATGCATCACTGGTGAATGTCTTCTCCCATTCAGTAGGTTGGGTTTTGTTGTTGTTGATGGCTTCCTATTCTGCACAAAAGCTTTTTAGTTTGATGCAGTCCTACTTGTTTATTTTTTTCTTTTGTTTTCCTTACCTAAGGAGACATAGCTAAGAAATATGGCTTCCCAGCGGATGCATTCATGTGGAGAAGGGTGCTGATGGTTGGGGGTTGGACCTACACTATCCCATCACTAATTACAATCATTGCTTTGGCCCAGCAGGCGTGGCTCGGTGGTTGAGTGTCAACCAATGAACCAGGAGGTCACGGTTCGATTCCTGGGCAGGGCACAGGCCCGGGTGGCAGGCTCGATCCCTGGTGTGAGGCGTGCAGGAGGCAGCCAATCAATGATTCTCATCATTAATGTGTCTATCGCCCTTCCTCTCTGAAATCAATAAAAACTATTTTTAAAAAATCATTGCTTTGGGGAGAAAGACTTTATGTTTACTTATCTTTTACTTTATTTTTATTGCTGACACTATTACAGATGTCTCCACTTAGGACTGGATTTTTAAAAACAGCTTTATTGAGATAGAATTCCTATGCCATAAAATCTATTCACTTTAAGTGTACAATTCTATGATTTTTAAGAAACTTACAGCCCCGTCAGCATGACTCAGTGGTTGAGCGTTGACCTATGAACCAGGAGGTTGATCCTGTCAGGGCGCATGCTCGGGTTGTGGGCTTGATCCCCAGTGGGGGGCGTGCAGGAGGCAGCCAATCCATGATTCTCTCTCATCACTGATGTTTCTATCTCTCTCTCCTTCTCCCTTCCTCTCTGAAATCAATAAAATATATATATATATTTTAAAAAGAAACTTATGAAATTATGAAACTATCACCACTTAAAAATTAGTAACTATAAACAGAGCCTCTTTATTTTATTTTTTAAATATATTTTATTGATTTTTCACAGAGAGGAAGAGAGAGGGATAGAGAGTTAGAATCATCATGAGCCCGCAACCAAGGTACATGCCCTCGACCGGAATCGAACCGGGACCTTTCAGTCCTCAGGCCGACGCTCTGTCCCCTGAGCCAAACCGGTTTCAGCAAACAGAGCCACTTTAAAACGGCCTCAGAGCCGCGTCTTATGCCTCAAACCTTCGGAATGTTAGAACTGGGCAAATGAACCTTTGGACGGGGCCTAAGCAACCTTGCATTCCAAAGAACTGTTTGCAAAGATAAAAGCAGATCTGAGGAATACGGACAGGTGGCTACAGGACTGAAAAGGAAACCATCCTTAGGACTGACATCATGAAGTCATTTTATCTGCGCCTGGAGAAATGCCTCCCCTTTGCTGAAGTGAATAACGTTCTCTTGATGTGATATTCCTCCTACTGATGAAACTGCTCTCCTTCCCCTTCTCATAAGCACCCTAACCGGAACCCCATTTGGGTTTCTGTCCGAAGCAGGGCTTCCCCAATAGCTATTGCGTCGGACCTCAGAGAAACCCTTGTTGCCTCTCACCTTGGCCTCTCACTCTTAGGTTCACACCGGGATCTAAGAAACCTCATGTCCACTCATAGCCACCCCACCCCCACCCCCAGCTCGGAGACCGCTCATCTACTTCCTGTCCCTCTAGGCCAGACCCTGTGAGACATTTTCTGGATGTGTTCTTCTGGGTCTGCTTCTCTCCCTGGACGTGACACACGTGGGGTTCCTCCATGCTGTCGCATGCGTTCATACTTTGTTCCTTTTATTTTTATTGTTGTTAATCCTCACCCAGGGCGATTTCTCCACTGATTTTTAGAGAGAGCAGAAGGGAGGGAGGAAGGGGGATAGAGAAACATTGATGTGAGAGAGACACGTTGATTGGTTGCCTCCCACGCACGGCCTCAAACCGGGGCTGGGGATCAAACTCGCAACCCTGGCACGTGCCCTTGACCAGGCATTGAACCCGAGACCCCCTTGATGTGCAGGCCAGCATTCTAACCACTGAGCACACTGGCCAAGGTGCTTTGTTCCTTTTATTGCCAAACAATATTCCGGTGAACAGAGATGCTCCGTTTTGCTGACCCATGTGCCAGTCGATGGACATCTAGGCTGTTCCCGCTTCTTTGGCTGCTGTGAAGAGTGCTCTGTGAGCAAGCGTGTGCAGGAGACCTGCCTGGATCGCTATGGCCGGCCTCCCTGGCCTCCCTCCAGCCTCTCCATCGGGCCCTCCTCCCTCCCGCCCTGGGCCTCCCACCTTCTGCTTCCTCTGCTGATACCCCCGGGCGGGCGGACTCACATCCCAACCCCTCCCCCCTCCTTGGGGAAGCCTTCCCCTTCCGGAGAGGAGTCCCTCGTTGGGGTGTCATGCTCTGTGTCACACCTGAGTCCCACTCACCTGTGGGTCCCCCAGCGGGGTCTTGTGTATTTTGCTCGCTGCTCTATTCCGGCTCCCAGCACAGTTCCCAGTCACAGGAGGTGCTCCATGAAGAATGGTTGCTCGGAAGGAAAGGAGGAGGGAGGGTGGGTAGGCGGAGGGAGGAGGCAGAGCCGGGACACAAACCTGCCCAGATGCAGTGTCCTCGGGGCCCCGCTGTGCGGTCTCCTGGAGGCCACCAGTCCCTGCTGGCTAAGCTCCTGGCACTGACTCTTTGCAGGTAAAGACACCACCCATCAGCCGCCTCACCCGGGGACCCACCCTAACCGCAGCACCCACCCGGAGGACAGCGAGGTGCCGGCCAGGTGACTCTATGGCTCCTTCTGGGGGAACCGGACTGGGGGTGGAGGGGGGTTGGTCCAGGCTGGAGCTCTGTGCCCAAAAGCCGCTTGGGAGAACGTGTGCCCAGCTCTGTGCTGGCACCAAGCCAGACAGCCTGGACCTGCAGCCCCTGCCTTCCGATGACCTCCAGGAAAGGGAAGCATTCCTGAGGGACCCCCTCCCCCTCTTCCCGCTGCGTCCTCAGCCTCACCTCTGGCTCCTCTGCCTGCAGCACCAGCGCCTCCCAGATCTCCTTCCCCGACGCCCAGCCCGGTAAGGGGCACAGAGGAGGCGCCACCCACACCCAGGAGGTCGCCCCCCTCTCTACAAGTGCCCCTGTCTCTTTCTCCTCCGCGGGGAGACCCATCCTGGTCTCAGGTAATGTTCGCCCCCAGGAGGCAGGGCCCTCCTCCCAGGCGGGCCAAAGGAGGGGCGTCTCCCCAATCTACAGTATCCACTGGGTCACTGGGGGCGCGCAAGGTGGACCCCGGGTTTCCAGCTTCCTGGGCTGTGGGTCTGCCACTTGCTACCAATTCATTCTTGTGTGTTGGGATTTCATTCATAGCTTCCTCCCCATGGCCCATAATTGCTACTCAGGAAGTATTTGGTGAATGGTTTTGTGACCTTGCCTAGTTGCTTAAGGCCCCTGAGCCCCAGTTTCCTCCCATGTAAAGCTGTAATAGCATTGCACCGTGCAGGGGAGTGGGTGGCTACCCGGTCCAGACCTTCCGGGTCGCATCACCCATTTGCTTTAAGTGCAGTTCACTCTAGGACCTGCAGTCCCAGCATTGCACACCAGGTGGCGCTGGTCCTCAGGCCAGCGGTTCTCCGCGTGGTCCTGAACTCGCAGCAGCAGCAGCAGCAGCAGCAGCAGCAGCAGCAGCGTGTTAGAAAAACAAATGATGGCCCCATCCAGTCCTACAGAACCCGATCCCCCCGGGATTCCTCTGCACATGAAAGTCTGAGAAGCATTTGTGAGGCACAAACTACTTTTTTGTAGTAGCTAATTACAAAATTAAGTGACAGGAGAAAGGAGACAAGTTAAAAACTCAGATGTAAAGAGAGAGACCCAGATAGCGGATCAGCGCCTGGGCACTGGAGTCCCTCCTCACCCCCCCCACCCCGGCCTGTCTGGAGCCGAGATTCTGCCATTTACCCTCAGGGTGACCTTGACCCAGTAACGTCACCTTTGAGAGCCTCAGTTTCCCTTGTTTGCAATGGCACCTGCTGCGTCCAGGGCTGAGTGTGCCTCTGTGGGAAGCAGACCCCACGCCTGCTTCATGGAGCTTCCAGTCCAGAGGGGACGGCCGTCACCCAGGCCTCCTCCGCAGGCCCCTCACTTTGTCCTCTTGTTCTGCCTTCCAGACCCCTGGCTTCTTGATTGCCCACCCTCTAGAAATGGTGTGCTCTTTCCCCCACTATCAACCCACCCTGACCGGCTTCCCGGAGCGGTGAGGGTGGGCAGCGGGTGAGGCTGGACCAGGTCCGTGTTTGGCTTCAGTGCTGGCAGCCCGGTGGAGACAGTAGGGCTGGGGACAGGGGCTGGGGGCAGCAGGGCCCCCGGCTCAGCCCCGGGAAGCGGGCTCTGGGCAGACAGTGCAGTCCACCTCTGTGTTGCAGGACCCGTGCTCCTCTGGCTGCTGGCGCTGCTGGCAGGGGTGGTCGTCGCCGGCTCCTTCCTCCTGTGCCACCGCAGGGCCTGCTGGAAGTGGATGCAGCAGAGTGAGTGATGTGTCCGGGGGGCCGAGGGAGGCGGGCGCGCTGTGCTAGCCTGGCCCCTGCCCTGCCCTGCCCCTGCCCTGCTCTGCCCGCCGAGGCTCTCCGAGGCTGGCATCTCCAGTACCCTCCTGATGTCATTCCAGAGCTGCACCTGTGCTTCCCCGTCCAGACCTTCCGGCCCAAGCCCGAGCCTGCGGGTAAGTGGTCGAGGGTCGGGGGCGGGGCGCTGCCTGAGCCGCAGGGACACATGGCAGGCTGGGGCTGGGCCTGGGCCTGGGGCTCCCTCTCGACGGCTTCACACAAGCTGCTTCTCTTTCTGTGACCTCATCTGTGATGAGAACACAATGTGGCGGGAACTGTGCCCCATCCTGCCAAGTGCTTGAATAGCGGGCTGGCAGGAAGCTTTCTTTGTATGCAGCTAAGGCTTTCTTTCTTTAAAAAAAAAATATTTTTATTGATTTCAGAGAGGAAGGGAGAGGGAGAGAGAGGGAGATAGAAACATCAATGAAGAAAGCAACTCATGGATTGGTTGCCTCCTGCACGCCCCACACTGGAGATTGAGCCTGCAACCTGGGCTTGTGACCTGACCGGGAATTGAACCGTGACCTCCTGGTTCCTAGATCAATGCTCAACCACTGAGCCACGCCAGTTGGCCTGCTGAGCTTTTCATTCCTTTCTCCCCTGTGCCCCCAGGAGAGGCATTCCTGACTGCCCTCCCTCTTCTTTCCCTCTTTCCCAGCCCCCCTATTCTTTCCTCTCTCCCCATTCTTCCCGTCCCCTCCTCTGGCAGCCGAGAGGGCCGTAGGGGTCAGTAGGGCCGGCAGAGAGGGCTGGAATCCTGGTTCTGCGACACCCTGGGAGGTTACTTCCTTCCTCTGTCTTACTTCCCTCACCGTAAGATGGGGACAGCGGGCCTGGTCCGAGGGTGGGCGCGTGGGTGGATGGATGGAGCTGGGCCTGTGCAGAGCCCTGGCAGGCGTTGTGTGCAGTGAACAGTGACTGCAGGCTGCTGACCCGCCTGTGCCCAGGCCGTGTTCCTCACCAGGAATCCCAGGCCTCCCTCAGCGCTAGATTATTCGGAACCCTTCCCTGGTCCTTGTCTCTGACCCCTGCCCCGCCTCCAGGCCACCTCCTCCAGGCAGCCTTCTGGAGCCCCGTCCTCCCCACCCATCCAGCAGCAGGCACTTCCAGCGCCCACCTGCTGCGGGCCTTGTGCCCAGGGCCCTCTCCTGGACAGCCCTTTCAGGTGGGGCAGGTCTGCCCGCTCTGTGCTGGGCGCTGCTCACAGAGGAAGCAGTGAACATGAGTGGTCTGAGTGCCCCTTCTGGTTTCAGGGCAGGTTCCCTCCCCTAGCAGGTCTCCCAGGAGCCCCGGGGGTGATGGCTGATGACCTATAAGGCGGCCGGTACCTGGCCCAGGGCCACCCTCCTAGTTAGTGCCCCTCTGGACTCTGGCCCTGGTGCTTGAGGTTGCTGCTCGGGCTGTAGACTGCCTGTGGCCCCGTCCTGTCTCCTCTGCCTCCCGCCCCCCAAGCCCTGTCCACCCCCTGCCCACCCAGAGCCCAGTGGTCGGCCCCAGGCCAAATCACGGCTCCCTGGCCCCTCCCTCCCCTCCTCCCCCCTGCCCCAGGCCCCTTGGAGAGCCCCTCTGCACGAAAACAGTCCAGGAGGTTGTTTTGAATCTGATGAGTTTCACAAGCAGGTGCGAGCGGTCCCTCCGCAGGGGTTTTCGTGTTTTGATGGTTTCAAGCCTTTTTCCGTGAGCTGTCAGGCTCCGCGTCTCACTGAAACCAGGTTTGCTTTCTTGACATTTTTCTAGTATTATAGACTTTCCATTGCCGTCAGTCTATTTTTTTTCTTCGAACCTTTGTGATAGCAGTTTTGTCTCAGAGAGAGAGAGAGAAAATCACCTTCCCTTAAGAAGCCAGGACTGCAAGCAACCCCGAGCCCTGAGCCTCAGGGGTGGCCGGGGCCGGCCCTCTGGCTTCCGGTGGGTGCCTGGGGGTCCCCAGGCTGAGAGGGAAGGGAGAGGAGGCCAGGGTTAGCAGGCAGGTCACAGGCTGAGCACGGACGGAGCAGGCGATGCCCATTCAATTTCTTCGCTCCCTCCTGTACCCCAAGTCGTGTCGTTGTGGGGTTTCGAGTGGCTCTGTGCGGGGCACAGAGGCTGCCCTGGCTCTCCTGGGCTCTGAGACCTGTGTCCGCTGCTCCAACAGGCGAAAGGCTAGCAGGCAGGGAGTGTACGCCCAGCCTGCCCCCTCTGGGATCCACAGGGCTGGGGTGGGGGGCTGGTGCCTGGCGGAGCACATAGGGGATCCGGGCAGGTGCCCAGTCAATGCTCCCCCATCAGCTCTTGAATGGATTGGACTTTGTGCCGGGGGTCCTTGGCGGCAGGCGTTTGTGAAGCACATACACGATCTCATTTGACCCCTCTGAGCATCCCTGCGAGGCAGCCACCGCTGTTACCCCGTTCACAGAGGAGGGACAGGGCACAGGAAGGAGGGGACTTGTGTGAGGCCGGTGGCTAAAAGCAGCCTGACCGGGGTCTCGTTGTCTCTGTTGGTGGCAAGGCTTTTGCCAAAAGGGTCTCACCCCTCAGACATTGGGGACTGGGCTCTCCTGTGCTTTGCAGGGTGCTGGCCAGCTCCTTGGTCTCCAGACCCACCTCCCCGTGTGGCCACCAAACGTGTCACCAGACTTTGCCAGGGGTCCCCTGGGCTGGCGGGGTTGGGGGATGGGGTGGGGAGGGAGAAGGGGAGATCACTCCTGGCCGGGAAACACGGTTAAAATCCTTTTAACCCTTCGTTTTGATGGCCACGGAAGTCATTGCTCTCTCAGTTCACGCGGGCAGGCGTGCTTTGGAAAAAATTGCGCGCCGTCGTTCGGAAATAATTTCGACCTCACGGGAAAGTCACAAGCACAGTACCCAGAACTCCCTTTCCCTGGACCATCTGTCACCGGCGTAATGCCTGTCATCTCTGACGTGCGTGTGTGCGTGCGTCTGTGTATTTCATACGAATAAGGCGTGCTTTTACACAACCGGAGTAAAACCGTCTACACCAGAGGATCTGCCTTGACGTGTGACCTTGAGTTCTCAGACCCCATTCAGGTGTCTCATTGCTCCCGGTAAAGCCCGCTGTGGCCAAAGAATTCCGTCCAGAATCTAGTGCTGCGTTTGGCTGTCTGTCCCGGTGACTCTGGTCAGTGCCTGTCTCGCCCTTCACCGTCCTGGCCTGGCCGCTGGGGAGGGTCCCGCCGTGGTTGTGTAGGTGTCCCTGACCTCGGCGTGGCCTGAGGTTTCCCGGTGACTGGATTTGGTGGGAAGAACCCAGGAGCCACGCTGAGCGCTTATTGGCAGCTCCGTCCTCCCGGCTCCTCTGGTCCTGTTGCTGGTGGGTCACACGGAGGCCTTGGTCAGAGGACCAGGGTGGTGTCTGCCAGGCTCCCCCACCGGAAGCTGCTCTTTCTCCGTGGTAATGAACGGCTCAGGCTCTGAGGGGCGCTCCTTGGAGGCTGTGAATGACCTGCTCCTCTGTCAGACTCTTCCTGTGCTTCATTCACGGGCTTATGTCCGGCGTGTGCGTTCCTGGTTTATTCTGCTGCCGTTGGCATTCAGTTTGAGGTTCAAATGGTCGCTGGTTAGGCCATTTCCAGCTGGCTCCTGTTCCCTTTTATTCCCATCCTTTTATGTAGAAAGCACCTATTTAAAAAAAAAAAAAAAAAAAAAAATATATATATATATATACATATATATATATATATATATATATATATATATATAATTGATATTTTACAGAGAGGAAGGGAGAGGGACAGAGAGTTAGAAACATCGATGAGAGAGAAACATCCATCAGCTGCCTCCTGCACACCCCCCACCTGGAGATGTGCCTGCAACCAAGGTACATGCCCTTGACCGGAATTGTGCCTGGGACCTTTCAGTCCGCAGACGGATGCTCTATCCGCTGAGCCACACCGGCTAGGGAGGGAGCACTTCTTGAAGGGTTTCCCAGCGTAGCTTGTACTTCCCTAGACTCCGCCAGTCTCCAGGGAGCCCCGGGTTGGAGTCGGCCGAACCTCTGGGCCAAACCCTTTCCTTGGGTCTGCTCTGCTCCCACAGCAGCTGGGACCTCAGGCCGAGAGGGGATGGGTCCGAAAGGGAGAGCAAGGAGGAGGGAAGGGACTGTGACTTGGGAGTCAGAATGCAGGGCTCAGCGAGGTGGCCCCGGGGCAGCCCCGGACCTGGGGCACTGTCACAGCGGGGCCACCGATGCCGTGTCCCTGGACCCACCTCCTGGGGTGCCGGATGCGGTTACGGGAAGACCACAGTCATTCCAAAAGCAGTGAAACCAATAATTGAAAACCGTGGACCAAAGCCACGTTTTTAGGGGAAAAGCTCTGATGAAATCCGACCTCTGTGCTTGGCACAGTTTGTTCTGAGTCTTTATCAGAGTATGCACGTGGGCTGTGCCAGGCGGGAGGCAGATGCTGGCGCCTGCTGGATTCTGCCTTTTTTGCTTCTTCTCAGTCTCCGTGTCAGATGTTGACTTTCTCTCTGCTGCGATAGAGTGCCAGTGTCCGGGGCCGCTGCGGGCCAGGCAGTGTCCTGGGCACCTCCCCTTTTGAACGCCAACACATTTTAAGAAGACATTATCCTGAGAGTCTGAGACGATAAAAAGAGTCCCCATGTACCTCCACCCGTCATTAACATCTTACATCAGAGGGATTCATTCGTCACAGTGAACAAGCAACATCGAAACAGGGCTGTTGCCTTGACTGGTTTGGCTCAGTGGATAGAGTGTCAGCCTGCAGACTGAAATGTCCCATGTTCGATTCCGGTCAAGGGCATGTACCTTGGTTGCAGGCACATCCCCAGTAGGGGGTGTGCAGGAGGCAACTGATTGATGTTTCTCTCTCATCGATGTTTTTAACTCTCTATCCCTCTCCCTTCCTCTCTGTAAAAAAGCAATAAAATATATTTAAAAAAAGAAAGAAAGAAAAGGAATAGGGCTGTTAAGTAAAGCCCATCCTCTATTCACATCACCTTCGTCTTTAAAATTTTATTTTTTAGTGCTCGCTTCGGCAGCACATATAATAAAATTTTATTTTTTAAATGTATTTTTGTTGATTTCAGAGAGAGAGGGAGAGGGAGAGAGAGATAGAATCATCAATGATGAGAGAGAATCATTGATCAGCTGCCTCCTGCACACCCCTCACTGGAGATTGCGCCCAAAACCCAGGCATATGCCCTGACCGGAAATTGAACCGTCACCTCCTGGTTCATAGGTCGACGCTCAACCACGGCGCCACGCAGGCCAGGCAGATCCGGGAGCCCACCCAGGACACCATGTGATGCTGAGTCGTCAGGTGTCCTCAGGTTCCTCCGGGCTGTGACGTTTCTGACTTCCGTCGTTTCCGATGACCTTGGCAGGTGTGAGGGGGACCGCTCAGTTGTGTTGTAGGAGGTCCTTCTATGGGAACCTGCCAAGCGCTTCTGTCCGGATTCGATTGGGGTTATAGGCTTAGGGGTGAGGACGGACCAGGGGCATCCTCTCAGCCTGATCGGTCACGGGCCTCTTCACTTCCGAGATCTCCTTTAAGCTTCATAAAAACCCTCCAAAGTGGGCCTGAGCCATCCCACTTTGCAGCTGAGACAGAGGCCGGGCGAGGTGGCGTCCTGTGCGGGTCTCTCTGCCAGGACTCTGGCACCGGCCCGCTCCCAGCGGCCGGTTCTTTTAAACACCAGGCTGTGCACAGCCTCATCATCTTCCCGGTTATTTCCTGAGGGTGTGCCCCGGGGAGGGGTTACTGGGGCAAAGGGTGTGAGACTCCCACGGCCAGCTGGCCCTCAAGAAACAGTCACCGGAAACGTTCACAGGATGTGTTTACCCACGGCCCCTCCAAGACTGAGTTTTATCGTTTTTATTTATTTTGTCTTGTTACTGTGTCAACACCCTCCCCCAGTGACTTGTCACCGAGCCCAGTTGGCTGGCTGCAAGACTCAGAATCCCTCTCCAAGGAGGGAGGTTCAGCGCCACTGACATCATTTGAAAGAATGTCCGTCCGGCCAGAGAGGGCGCCCAGGCTGGCTCAGGCAGCGGGCAGTGGCCGCCTGGCGGGAGTGACCGCACTGCTGGGGGCAGCGGGTACCAGAGGCAGTGAGTGCGACATGTGTGTTAAATCCAGGGCTGAGGACTGGGTCCCTGTGCACGTGTGCTGCTTTGCATGGCCGTTCTGGCCTGTTTCCCCGTCGGGCTCTTTCTGCCCGGTGATGGGCATCGTGTGGCCACACGGCTCAGCCGGCCCCTCTTCCTGTTACCGTGGTCGGGGGGCCTTCCGTGAGTTTCCAGCTGGGATGCGGGGCCGGGGGTGGCCCGGAGCTGCTGGCATCCGGGAAGGTTCTGGAGGTGACTCAGCTGATTTCTCTGGTCGGGTGTGCACACTAACAGCAATGGATCCCGAGTCTTCGCAGGCGGCCCCTGGACTCCGAAAAGGCTGTGCGCCCCTGCAGTGTGGTCTGGGCAGGGGAGCTGGTTTGCTGTAGGATAGACCAGCTGCCCGGGCCATGGTTAAATGCCCACTTACACTTGGAGGTGATCTGGCACCCGACTCAGTGTGAGAAAACAATTGGAGGGGAGGAGAGGGGATGGGAGGAGAGGGTAAAGGTCGTGCCCTAAGAATCATGGCGTCAGCACCTCCCGTGCCCACCGAGGGGGTGCTTGCAGGAGGGGGAGGACTGGTGAGAGCTGTCCTCCTCGAAGGCGGTCACGCGGGCTTTTAAAAACACAGACCACAGAACACCCAACTCGGAGGGCCCCAGCCGGAAGGGCTCCGGGATCAGCTGGCTTCAGCTGGCCTGGCACAGGACTCAGGAGTGTCCTCTGGCCACCATCCCCTCTGTCTCCTGCTCTGGGCTCTCCAGGCCCCCGGGGCTGTGAGGCGGTGGTGATTTCTGAGTCAGTGGGAGCCTCCTTGGCTCCAGCCGAGCGCACGCCTCCCCTGTGTGTGTTGGGGGGGAGGGGGGGAAGGGGGCGGAGGCGGTGGACTGGGGAGGGGTCCAGGGGCGGAGGAGAGAGGAGTCCCCTGCTCTCTGGCAGCGCTGGAGAAGTGAGCACTGGGGAGTGAGCCCTGAGGCCCGGCCTGGGAGTAGGCACGGACCCTGAAACCTTCTCCAGACAGAGGGCCCACGGGAGCATCAGTGCCCCCTGGAGAGCCAGCGGAGGCCCCTGTCCATGGTGGGGCGGGCAGGGCCCAGGCTGCCAGGCCTTCCTTGGTGAAGCTGTCCCTCCTTTTCTCTTCACAGATGCCAGGCCCCCGAGGAACCAGCCAGTAAGTAGCCGCCCCGTGTCCCAGCGTGGTGCCCCTGAGTCTGGCTCTTGGGCAGACCTGTTGCTGCCGAGAGCCGCCTGGTCCCTGCCAGCTCCTGCTGGGTCTGGGGGGGGAGGAGAGGACATGGAGGGGGCAGAGAGCTCTGAGCCACGCCCTGGCCCAGGATGCTGTCCCCCTCCCCCCAGTGGCCTGGCTCCTGGCTCCTCTCGCCGGGGACTTCCAAAAAGGCCTGCCAGACCGCGGGCTTGGCTTGGGCTCCTTTGGGTGCCAGGTGTGTTCCGGTCACAAGGAAGCCTGGGCTTGCTTCCCCTTTTCTCCTTCCCTCCTCCTCCAGTCCTGTGCTTGCACTGGGGTGACAGGTCAGCAGCAAGGATTTTAGGAATGTGGCTGTCACCCACCGAGCAGTCACCTGGAGCAGCTGCTCGCTCTGTGCGCTCTCAGCGTCCGCTCAGGTGGTCCTCATGGCACGCGGAGGCCAGCCTGCGGTCCCGCTGTATAAAGGGGGAAACTGAGGCGCCGCAGGGAGGGTGGCCCCACAGTGGGGAGCAGACCTGCTAGGGTTTGAGCCCCTGTTTGTGACTCTGACCCGCTGCCCTGGCTGCCTCCTCGGAGACCTGCTTCATCTGCCCGTTGAGGGTGGGAGTGCTGGCGGTGCGCAGGCGCGGGGTGAGGGTCCTGCAGATGTGACTGCTGATCGCCCAGCACAGGCCCCAGCCAAAAGGTCCTCACTGGGCTTGTCCTTGCATCCCGCTCTGTGCCCAGCCCCCTCACCCCCCCATTGGCAGCTCCCACGGTGGGAGCTGAGGGAGGGGCAGGCCAAGCTCTCCATATGGCCGGGTCTCAGGCGTGTACGTTCACCCACTTCATTCCCCTCGTTATCACATCTCTCATGCCTTTCCTCTAACTCAGACACTGATCCATGGGAGGTCTGCCGTCTCCATGGAACACCAGCTCGATGGCACGGCTTTCGCATGTACAGGTCTCCCTCGCCCTTCTCAGCACCCGTTCGCTACCGAGCTTTGCAAACTCGCTTTGACATGTTACAACAGTTTTGTTGCACCAGTTTTATAAACTTGTGCAATACATGCTATTGTTCAGAGACCAACCAAAGGTTAATTTCTCAGGGTTCTTGCTGCCTGCTTTAGTGGTATTTGATGGAGGATCCTTTACATACACTTGTAATAGTTGAAGATCTCTCCCTCTCTCTCCCTCTCTCTCTCTCTCTCTCTCTCTCTCTCTCTCTCTTTCATGCTCAAACCATGTTCCAAGTTTTTGGTCCAAATCATGTAGAATAAGTTAAACTTAAATTGCATTCTGTTAACCAATGTGAGTATATTTCTCTAAGCACAGTTAGGTTGAAATAAAGTCTTAAAAAGCAAAACAAAAAAAATGATCCACAATAAAACCCATTTATACATGGAGAAAGATTTTCACCTTTTAGCTTTTTAAAATATATTCTTATTGATTTCAGAGAGAGGAAGGGAGGGGGAGAGAGAGAAATATTAATAATAAGAGAGAATCATTGATTGGCTGCCTCCGCCCGCTCCCTACCGGGGATGAATCCCTGATTGGGAATTGAATTGTGATCTCCTGGTTCATAGGCTGACACTTAACCACTGAGCCTTGCCAGCTGGGCTCCATCCTTTAATTTTTTTTTTTAAAATATATTTTATTGATTTTGTACAGAGAAGAAGGAAGAGAGATAGAGAGTTAGAAACATCGATGAGAGAGAGTCATCGATCAGCTGCCTCTTGCACACCCCCTACTGGGGATATGCCCGCAACCAAGGTACATGCCCTTGACCGGAATTGAACCCGGGACCCTTCAGTCCCCAAGCCGACGCTCTATCCATTGAGCCAAACCGGTCTTGGCTCCATCCTTTAATTTTTAAGCATAATAGGCAGAGCCACAATATGGTTTTCAATATGAGTTCAATTTAAAAATTATGGGAGATCACATTCAAATATACTTGGGTCAGGCAAGTCGCTGCCGTAACACGGAGTCATTTATGAAAAAGATATTTGGTGATTTGTAAGAGAATCAAATATCTTTGCTAAAACCTTACTAGTAAATTGTTTAAAAATGCTGTCTTTTGGATTCTAATAGTTATGAAGAAATTTTCAGGATTATGTAGCTTTGCTTTCTGAATTACTCGAACTCATTCCACCCTGAAGGCAGCAGGCAAATGCGATGGCCTAGAACCATGGTCGGCTTTTTGGCCCCTTGGGTGTGGCTCTTCCACAAAATACCACGGCCTGGGCGAGTCTATTTTGACGAAGTGGCATTAGAAGAAGTTTAAAAAATGTGGCTCTCAAAAGAAATTTCAATCTTTGTCCTGTTGATACTTGGCTCTGTTGACTAATGAGTTTGCTGACCACTGGCCTAGAACATTCCACGAGACCGCTTCTCCTTTGCACTTACCTATCAAAGTCAAACACTAGCCAACACTTTCCTGAAGACGTAGCCCTTTTCAGAATACATCAGCGTCGTCAGAACCGGCCGCTGTCCCAGGGGGTCAGGGCTGCGCAGGAGGACAGGCCTGGAGCCAAGGTGTACAGACCGGCCTTTCCGCATGGATCCGGAGCCGGATGCCAGGGTTCAAGTACTGTACCGGCCTGGACACTTACTAGCCCTGAGCAAGTCCCGTGACTCTGTGCCTCAGTCTCCTGATCTGTAAAATGGAGAGAGTGCTAATGTCAGGCACCTCCTAGGCTGGCTGTGGGGATTAACATGTGTCATGGGGTACACACGTGTGATGTTGGCCACGGTCCTTACTGTGTGGTACATGCTAAAAGCAGCACGCTTCTCCCGAACTCACTGGGCAGGTGCACCAGGCCGTCAGGGCTGGGAAGCCCAGTGGCGGGTGGCGGCCCTAAAGCAGGAAGGGGGACTGGCTGGGGCGAACAGAGATGAAGAAACGGGGCTTCGCAGTCCGGGTCCGGGCCGCGGGGGGCGGGCACCCTGCCTCAGCGCTGCCGCCTCTGTGCCCACAGGAGCTGAAGGGCCTGTTGGTGACGGAGCCCCGCCCAGAGAAGCTGGGGTTCATGAGCCCCCCGGCTGTGGAGTCCTGCGCCCACGTGGGGGCCGCCGGCCGGGAGAGCCTGCCGCTGGTGCGGGCCAGTCCAGCCGGGAGCCCCTCATCCCCCAGGGACCTTCCCGAGCCCCGGGTCACCACGGAGCACACCAACAACAGGATCGGTGAGTCGGCTGGTGTGGGGGCCCCTGGCGTGGTCAGGGCGAAGAGGGCAGCGGGGTGCTGGGCCCCGGGCCCCCACCTGGAACGGAAGACCCAGGAAGCCCTGCAAGGAAGAGGCGTGGACTCTCCCACAGCCTTGTGAGTGGGAGGTGTTTTTTGTCCTTTTGTTTTTTTGAAATATATTTTATTGATTTTTTACAGTGAGGAAGAGAGAGGGATAGAGAGTTAGAAACATCGATGAGAGCAAAACATTGGTCAGCTGCCTCCTGCACACCTCTCACTGGGGTTGTGCCCACAACCAAGGTACATGCCCTTGACCAGAATTGAACCTGAGACCCTCCAGTCCGCAGGCTGATGCTCTAACCATTGAACCACACCAGTCAGGGCTGGGAGGTGCTTTTGGTGAGAGTGTTAGATGTGCTTGGGAGACAGCGGTGGTGGCCCTGACTTCTTGGGGCCGGTGGGAGGGTTCCTGAAATAATCTTGTGGTGTTGTCTTGCGGGGTGGGTGGAGGGAAGGGGTGCCCCCCTGCCTGGCGCCCTCTATTGCTAAAGGGGCACCGGGAAGACACACGGTGACGTAGGTGCTGCCACAGCCTGAGCATTCCGGGCACCGGGCAAGTGCCACCTCACCGTCACTCGCCTCTGAGGTGGTGCCTTCCCCTTTCGCAATCGGGGAAACTGTGGCCGGGGCGGGGGTGACACTGTTTTCCCGGGCGCACGGCTGGGGAGAGACAGGCTGCGGCCTGTCCGAAACCGCCGGTCTGTCTGCACTGCCAGTCCCGTGGCCGTGCGGGCACCACGGCTGGCACTTCCCCAATGACAGGTGCCCTCTGGCTCCAATACCGCCCCCTCCGGCTCTACGGCAGCTTCCTAAGCTTGCCGAGCCCTGGCTCACTTCTAAGCTTCTCTGTAGGAGCTGCCTCCTCGCCTGGGACAGCCAGCGCCCCCCTCTGGAAGACCCTGTTTATTGCCTCCTCCTCCAGGAAGCTCTCCCAGCTGTCCTGTCTAGGCCAGATGCGCTTCTGCGGTGCTCCCCCAGACTCCAGGCCTCCCACCCAGTGTCCTCAGTCTTGGGCAGTGTGGGGCAGTGTGGCTGTGTCTGTGGCCTTCTCCTGCCCCTCATCTGCCTCAGATTTTATTGATTTTTATGGAGAGGAAGAGAGAGGGATAGAGAATTAGAAACATCGGTGAGAGAAACATCGATCAGGTGCTTCCTGCACGTCTCCTACCGAGGATGTGCCCACAACCAACATACATGCCCTTGACCGGAATCGAACCTGGGACCTTTCAGTCCACAGGTGGACGCTCTATCCACTGAGCCAAACCGGTCATGGCTGGATAGAACTCTTTAGGGCAGAGTCTTTGTATCAAATGGAAATCTTGGGAGCTGCAGCTTTTGGCTTTTTATTTTTTTTAAATGAGTTTTTGGGAAATATCGCCAGAGGAACCTCCTTCCAATTTCCGAAGAAGCCCTAATTTGGAGTTTGAGCCTGTGCTGAGTGCAGTGCCTGGAACTGTGAGGGTGGGGCTGAGTGTTGGACGGGGTGGCGGAGGCAGGTACCGAATTGCCAGGGCGGCTGGGGTGTGGGCAGCGGCGTGGGCAGTGGTATGGGCAGCCTGCCCAGAGCCAAGCCAGCCTGCAGGCCTGCTGGGCGTGGGGTGGTGGGAGGGAAAGCCTTGGAGGCTCTCTGGGGATACCCAAGGGACGGGGAGCCCCATGTCCCTCTGACACTACCTCCGAGGAGCACCTCCTTGCTTCATTCCCAAGGGACCAAACTCTTGCCTGAGCTCATCACTCCCCCTGACCATAGCACCAGGCAGGCAGCCCTTTCCTCCCTCCTTCCCCCCACCCCACCCCACCCCACCCCACCCCTCTGAGACAGCTTCCCTGGATTCTGGAGCCCTGGGTGAGTCAGGAATCCCAGTAGCTTCTGGAAGATGCTCCCCTTGCAGTCTGGGGGCTGGGCAGCTCTGTGATGGGGTCCGAGCCAGAGAACTCGGGACCCAGGAATGTGAGGGGAATGATAGTCTGGCCCCCAACTTTGGTCTCTTCAGGCTGGACAGCCCACCCCTGCTCCTCTCTGTCCGTCTCTGTCTCTGTCTGCCTGTCTCTCACCTCCTCTAGTCCTGTCTGGTCCCCTCTGTGCCCTCCTTCTCTCCCCTCCCGGAGCAAGGGGCCTGCAGGTCTTGGTGAAGGTGTGTGTGGCTGAGGCTTGAGGCGCTCCTTCTCTCTTGGGGTGTAGGGGGTCCCAGCCCACAGCCTCTCCCTCTCTCTCTTCCTTCTCTTTAGTTCCTGCTGCTATTTTGAACACTTCTCTCTTTCCTGGGGGTGTTATAACCAAAACAGAAGCGCCGGCATTACGTAATGGAATTGAGGGCACAGGGGCCCCAAGAATATTTTGGGGGTTCCTGAGTCAGAGGGGTGTAACCGGTTACCCAGAGAAGCAGGGATCCCGAGCTCCCTACCCCACCCCAGCTCTTAAGTTCCCTCCCGGGCTTCCCCATTCAGCCTCCAGAACCCAGGGCCGAGCAGCTGGGAGCTGGGAGCCTGCCCTGAGCCTGAGACACTGGAAGAAGCCGGCCAGTGCTTGAAGTCAGCTGACCTGGCTGCGGGCCGGGCTCCCCACTTCCCAGTGTCATTGGCAGCTTCCTTCACTCCCCCGAGCCTGCCTCCGGAGCCCCCAAAGGAAGGAAATGGTGTTGAGGGTCCAGGGGAATCACACCTCTCATGGGCTGGGCAGGTCTTTCATCCAACTGTGTGCTAGGCAGGCACAGCCATGAGGCCTGGCAAGAGGGAGGGGGGGGGGGAGAGAGATGAGCGCTCCCCACTGAAATATCCCGCCCCTCCCAGAGCTGCCCGAACCTCAGGCTGCTGAGTTACTCGCCGCTGAGGGTCCAGGGGGATGACAGCTGCCTGCTTTGCTGGGTTGACCTTGCCCTGCGAACTCCAGAGCATCAGGGGCAAACCGGGCCCCGCTGGTTTCTGCTTTGGCCCATGGGAAGGGCGGGGGCAGGAGTTGCTTTGGGGTTTGTGCTAAGTACCCGGTGACCTCGGGCAGGTCACTGGGCTCCAGGCCTTTCCCTGTGACTGGGATCAGAACAGGCTGCGCCTGGCGGAAGGGACGTGAGGCCGCAGGAGCTCAGGTGTGGAAGGCGAACCTCTCCTCGCGTTCCCTGGCGCTGTTATTATTATCTTAGTCTTTTAAAAAACATAAAAAATATATATTATATTGATTTTTTTTTTTCAGAGAGGAAGAGAGAGGGATAGAGAGTTAGAAACATCGATGAGAGAGAATCATCGATCAGCTGCCTCTTGTACACCCCCTACTGGGGATGTGCCTGCAACCAAGGTACGTGCCCTTGACCGGAATCGAACCCGGGACCTTTCAGTCCACAGGCTGATGCTCTATCCACTGAGCCACACAGGTTTCGGCTATTATTTTAGTCTTATTTCTCCACTCCAGGGGACATCGGCAGGAGCCCAGGTGATTGGTTTTCCTTGCTTCCTCCCCATGCCTCGCTGACTCTCCTAACCCCGTTCCCTCTGCCCCCACCCCATCCAGGCAGAAGTGCTGAGAAAAATCACAGGCATTGCCCGTAGGGAGCAAGTGGGCCAGCGGCTCACTCCTCGGCTCACTGCTCGGCACACGGTTGCCAGCTGTCAGGTTGGCGGGGCTCATTGCGCCCCAGAGGGGCTGTGCCTCTCCTCCGCCTCCTCGCTCACCCTCTGCGCCCTGGGCTCTCACCCTCTGCGCCTCTCCTTCTGCTCCGCAGAGAAAATCTACATCATGAAGGCCGACACCGTGATCGTGGGGACCGTGAAGACGGAGGCGCCCGAGGGCCGGGGCCTGGCGGGGCCGGTGGAGCGGGAAATGGAGGAGGACCTGGAGGCGGACCATGCCCCGCACTACCCGGAGCAGGAGACGGAGCCGCCGCTGGGCAGCTGCTCAGACGTCATGTTCTCCGTGGAGGAGGAAGGGAAGGAGGACCCCTTGCCTGAGACGGCGGCGTCTGGGAAGTGAGGCCTGGCTGGGGCTGAGCGGGCAGCTGGGTGTCTCTGGGACCCGGGCGTCACCATGGACCATGCTGGTGCAGAGGCCCTTCGGCTGACCTGAGTTTCCAGCGCCCGGTGGTCCATGCAGGAGGCGTCTGGGGGTCTTTGCCTGCATCCCCACCCAGCCGCCCCCCACCCTGACCCTGGGGCAGTGGGCTGTGCAGTAGAAACAGCCAAGGTGCTGGATCTGAATGGCCGTGTTTGCTGGGGCAACAGGAAGACAGACAGCACAGCCTGGACACTTTGCCTCCGCTGCTCCTGAGAAGACACCCCAGAGTCCTGGCATGGGCCCCCCTCCCTCCAGGGTGGAGCCCACCGGAGGCAGAGGCTGTGAGGCCCACACCCGTGCCTTCTCCCCTCGCCCCCTGGAGAGATCCCCACTGGGCCTTGCTACCAGGCCAACAACCCGCAGTTACTGTAAACTCGGCCCCCGGTGGCCCCGAGCCAGCGTCTGTGGTTTCCCCTCAGTCCGAAGGGAAACAGGGATCGGGCGGCCGGCTGGCCCATTGCAGCCACCGCGGCCATGCTGTGCCCTGTGCCCTATGCCTGGTGGTGCCCAGCCAGCCTCCAGCCCTGTGTGGTGGGCCGAGGTGGACCCTCCTGGTGCTGCCCCTTCCCGGTTCTGGGGCCCCACTGTGGGCCCTGGCTTAGGATCAACCAGCTCATCTCAGAATGTTCCTCCCAGGCCCAGTAGCCAAGGGCACTGCCTGCTCTGTCCTGGGAAATGAAGATGCCCACATGGACCCTGACGGTACTGGGCCTGCCTCTTGTAGGGGCCGTTCCTCACCCGTGTTGGGACACGGATGTCAAAAGCTGATTCTGCCTGATCCTGGGCTTGGGGGACAGTGCTGTGCAGCTCAGTCCGGGGTCAGGATGTTTGTGTCGCACACGAAGGAATAACCGCCGGCTGGCCTGCCCTCCCGGGGCCTTCGGACGCGTGCACGCAGGCGTGTGGCCTCGGAAAGGGGCCCGTGGGCAGATGACAGGGTCGCCGCAGCTCCTGGAATTTCCCGCCGAAGCCTGGCCTGAGAGCTGCTGTTTACGGTGCACCAGCCGCTCGGCTGGAGGAAGTCGGGCCGGCCCGGGAATGGCAGGGGCAGGTTCTGAAACCGCTCTGATATTCTGGGGAAAGTTGGAGAGGCGGGGACGCCGTGAGAGGCCGCTACCCCAGACCCTGGAGAAGTTCACGCGGGATGGGTGATCTCTGCCCAAATGCCCGTGTGGGCAGCTCTGCACCCAAGCCTCCGTGCACGCACCCAGCACCCCGCGGGCAGGGCTAGGGCTGCCCGTGGCTGGACGCGGACGTCTGCTTAATGAAATGACGCACTCCCCCGAAGATGAACTTGAAAAGTTCACCAAGTTCCTTACCAGTGACCACAAGGCTGAGGAATCTCTCGTGGAGACTGAGAGTCCTGGAGAAGCTCTGAGTTCAGGGATCCCCCACCCCTCTGCCTGGCCTCTGGAGGGTCTCCTCCCTGTCCCTCCTGTGCCCGGGCCCGGGCTGCCTGTGGACACTCCGAATAAAGCTGCTCTGCCCCAGGCTCCCGGTGGGTGTTTGCAGAAGGGGCTGTGGGGAGAGGCAACACAGAAGCAGCACCCATGCCCCACCTGGGGGTCACAGGGAGGGGACTGAGGGGTCGAGTGAGCCCAGGGCTTCATGCAGGACCCGTAAGGCCCTCCCCTCCTCCCAGGTGGTCAGATGGGGCCGGGGCGAATATCCCTGCCCTCCAGTGACAGGGCCTTCTTAGCCTCTGCTGTTCAGATGGGCAGATGGACCAGGGCCCTGCTGCCCGGGGTGGCAGTTCCAGGGGAGCAGGGAGCCTCACCCAAGCGCACACCCCCTTCCTGAACAGTCAGGAGGGAGTGATGAGTGTCCTGCGGAGGCTGTCGCATACAGAGGAACCCCGCTGTCCCCCAGGGCAGTCTCGAAGGTGCTTACGGCCAGACCTGTCCCTCAGATGGAGCAGGAGGCTCAGGCCCCACTGTCTCCATCCTCCCGCCCCTCCCGTCCGGTCACTGCTGTCCCACAGCCCAGGGACCGCTCTGCGGGGCTGAACAGAAATGACTGTGCGGAGGCGAGAGGCCACCCTCCAGCTGAAGTTTCTTGGGCGCCTTCTCACCTCCACCCCTTCCTTGGTCCTCCCTGTCCTCGTGGGGGGCAGGGAGGGGCTGGCAGGGACCGGATTCACTCATAGGTCTTTGACTGCATCAGTCCTGCTTGACCGGAAGCCAAGGTGAGAACATCAAACACTTTAAGGATGGCTACTCCAGCCCAAGGAGAAGCTGGCCGAGCCCACGTGGGGCTCCTGCACCCTCCCCAGGCCCCTGGCCCTGGCCCGCACCCGTGCCAGGCACACACCTAGGACCCTGCGGGGCTCCCCAGAGGAGCAGGGCTGCAGCGGAAGTGACCGAGGTGCGGGCAGACAGTGTGGGTGGGGACTGGGATCCAGACCCAGCTCTGCTGCTTAGTGGGGCTGTCGAGGTGACGTGCCTTGGTCTCCCTAGAGCTCAGTTTCCCGATCTGTGAAATGGGCCAGAGTTGTGGGGTCCCCTTCACGCCACCTGACACGGGGCTGGCCTTTGCTATGCGGCAGCCGCTGTCCTCGGTCCAGCCCAGCGGCCACTTGCCAAGGGTGAGCCCGTCCTGGGCCTGCAGACTTCAGCCCCTCTGACTCACCAGCAGGCAGCCTCCGAGGGGTACTGGATTGAGAACACTCTTTTCCCAGAAAAACAGCGTGAACGCCGGGGGCTGGTTCCTGGCCGGTGTTGGCTTCGGGGAGGCTGACAGGGCTCCCAGGCTTCCCTGAGGCCTGGCCTCCCTTGGGGTGTGATGCTGTGGGAACCCCACAGTGGACAGACTGCTTCTTGCTCCGGGGGGCCCCTCCTGTCACAGTCCCAGGAGTGGCTGCTGGCTAGATGTCTGTAACTCTGTGCGTTTGTGAAGCGTTGCAGGTCCCTCTGCAGGGATGACCTGCTCGTGGTTCCAGGGCGTTCCAGGCGGCACACCATTGCTGTTCAAAACCTCCTTTCCTCCCCTCCCCTCCCCACTCCCTCCAAACACACCCGAGATGAGCCAGGGCCAGTCCAGCTGCAGAGGATACGCTGTGCTCAGACCGTGTCTCGTGGGTCCTGTGTTCAGTGGCTGAGACCCACGATGGCGCAGAACCGAACCTGCGAACAAGTCACTCCGCAGACCAGTGGTCGGCAAACTCATTAGTCCACAGAGCCAAAGATCAACAGTACAACGATTGAAATTTTTTCTGAGAGCCACATTTTAAAAAATATATATTTTATTGATTTTTTACAGAGAGGAAGGGAGAGAGATAGAGAGCTAGAAACGTCGATGAGAGAGAAACATCGACCAGCTGCCTCCTGCACCCCCCCCATCGGAGATGTGCCCGCAACCAAGGTACATGCCCCTGACCGGAATCGAACCTGGGACCTTTCAGTCCGCAGACCGACGCTCTACCACTGAGCCAAACCGGTTTCGGCTGAGAGCCACATTTTTAAAACTTAAACTTCTTCTAATGCCACTTCTTCAACATGGACTCGCCCAGGCCGTGGTCTTTTGTGGGAGGGCCACACTCAAGGGGCCAAAGAGCCGCATGTGGCTCGAGAGCTGCAGTTTGCCGGACACGATGGGGTGATGTGCTAGGAGCGCCCCAGTCAGGCGACCATGCGCTGCCTGGAGGGCAGGGTCGGCTCTAACCAGGTGGCTCAGGAGGTGCCCTTTGAGCTCCAGCTGAGTGACATGATGCGTGGGCGAGGGGTGGACTTGGGGCCCAGTGATCTGGGAAGTCATGGGCCACGGCTGCAAAGGCCCACGAGGTGGGGATGCTCCCGGGTTTGGGATCTGAGGAGCACTGGTGGGAGCACTACTGGGAGCACTGGGGCAGGGCGGAGGGAAGGTGAGCGGGCAGCCCACAGCCAGCTGCTGGAGGGCCTCGTGGGCCATTGCTCGGTGTTCAGCTTTGATCGTCAAACAGATGGAGACTTGCCTTGGGGTGGGGGACACACAGAACTATGCAGCTGAAACCTGTGTAATTTTGTTAACCGGTGTCACCCTAATAAATTCAATTAAAAAAAAAGGGGGGGGGAGAATAGAGAATAAACCTGAAAGAAGAAAAGTGAAAAAGGAAAGACTACATTTATTTCCCTCCCGCTAGAACAGCAAACATCCTGCTATTCTCTCAGCAGTGGGCGGGAAAGGCCAGCAGAGGTGGTTTCAGCCGATTTCAGACAAAGGCTGAGGCTGCTGCTGGCCGGGAGACAGTTGGCTGCTTCTCAGAAAGGCCGGCGGGAAGGCTGCTCCCGGCGATTAACGAGCAGCAGCTCCGGGGCCAGGCTGCCGTCGCCGAGGGCGGCTGGCAGGCAGGCAGGCTGGCAGTCTAGGTTCCTCTTTCTTTGGGTGTCTTCCAGAAGAGTCAAAACCAAACCAAGAAATCCTGGGGAGGCCAGGGGCCTTTGTTTGTGTTTGCACTCTCCTCCCCGGGCTCCTGGAGTCGGGGGAGGATGCAGGAAGGGGCCTTCAGGTCTCAACCTCCAGCTCAAGGAGTTCCCAGATGCAGGGCCTCAAGCGAAGCCCTGAAGCGCTTTCAACTTTGGTTTCCTGATCTGCAGCCGGTGCATGATCATGACTGTGCGTTAGGTGGCTGGAGGGTCCGTGGGTGAGGACTCGGCCTGGAGCCTGGCATGTTTCCTGTTCAGAAAATGAGAGTCACCACCAGCAGCCCCTCGTCAGAAAGAGCTTTCAGGGTTGTGCAAGGCTTTCTGTGTTCTTCATGCGCCTGGGCTTCAGAATCGCAGCTGGAAGTGGGTAGGAGGAGTATCAGTACTCGCCTTGACAGCCTGAGGCTCAGAGAGGTGAAGCAACCAGCCCACAGTCACACAGCCAGGGAGTGCCAGAGCTGGAGTCCAATCCCCCAACTCTGTGGTTCCAAGTCCCCCTCTGCCCATATGCCCCCTTCCTCCCCCCCTGCCAGGCATAGTTGTCAGCAGACACTGTCCCCTCTGGGCAGGTTTCCTTTCGCCTCAGAGTCAGCACAGCTGGGAGGTAGGGAGGAGGTTGATTTGATTCCCCGTTTTATGCAAGCGGCTAGGCACCTTGCCTGAGATCAGGCGGCAGCCCAGCTGCGATTTATTTCTGATCCTTCTGCCGCACAGCTAAGCCAGCCAGAGCCTCGCGCCTCCAGGCGGCTTTCCTTGGAGGTGGCCTGACTCTGGACACCCAGGCCTGGGAGGACAGGTGGACAGAGGACCTCCGCTGGAGGACTGGCCGGCCACGGGATCGCCTTTCACATTCTCAGAACGCATACCCCGCTCTCTGCCCCACGCCAGGATCCAAGGTCCAGAACGAGCCTCCCCACTTACGGGACGGGAGACTGCGCGCTGAGGCGGTAAGGTGGTTTGGCCAAAGCGCCCACTTGGTGCGTTCGGTCCCTTGCTGTGTAAGCTGGGACTGGGGCAGGGAAATGGCCATCTAGCCCGAGTGAACAGTAAAGATTATTTGCTGATTCTCAATCTTCCTTAAAAAACAACAACCAAACCCACAACTTGGTGTTAAAGTTAAAGCACCTGTGGTGAGAGCTTTGGGCTTGTATTTATCATCAGATGGCGTGGCAAGAGCCAAGCGGTCCGCACAGCCAGACAGACACGCACAGACAGGAAGCAGGCCGCCTGCCGCCTCCTGGCCCTCTGGCCTCCTGGCCCTCTGGCCCGTGCCGTCCGCAGGGTCCCTGCGGGCCGGAGTCTGCCGTCGCCTCTGGAAAATGATCGATTCCCACTGAATGGGGGCTCTGGGTTTTCATCTTCCCGGCTCCCACACATGATGCAGCCCAGTGGTCGGCAAAGCGCGGCTCGCGAGCCACAGGCGGCTCTTTGGCCCCTTGAGGGTGGCCCTCCCACAAAAGACCACGGCCTGGGCGAGTCTATGTTGAAGAAGTGGCGTTAGGAGAAGTTTAAGCTTAAACAATGTGGCTCTCCAAAGAAATGTCAGTCATTGTCCTGTTGATCTTTGGCTCTGCTGACTGATGAGTTTGCCGACCACTAATGTGGCCGATCCCGCACCAGGGACAGGGGACTTGTTTGTTTGGGACTTAATGCCAGGGCCCTTCGTTTGCATCCCCGTTTGACCTCCCAGTAACCATGGTTACAGGTGAGCACATGGCTTCCCAGGTCCCTAAGAGTTGACTGGCTGGTGGCTGACCGTAACTGTCCCAGTGGTCTGTCACCTCAAAACTTAGTGGCTTAAAGCAACACTAGTCATTCATTTCGCTCACACAGCTGCGGTTGGGCCTGGCTGGGTGGGGAAGGCTCCTCTTTGCTCACGGCGCCAGCTGGCACCGGGCACCGATCTACCGAGGCGGCTGGCAAGCCGGGTGCGCTGTGGGCTCCCCGCAGCCCGGTGGACGGGTTCCTAGAGCGAATGACCCAGGCCGGGTAGGAAGTGGGAGCCGCCAGGTTCTGAATATCTGGGCCCAGAGACAGACATGGTACCACTTAAGTCACATCCCACTGGTCCAGCAGTCAGCGCACCCAGGTT